GGGGGTGGAGGAGCTAGCAGTAGGTTGGAGACACTTGGGTCAGTGCGAAGACCCTGCTGAGCCTCCCTCGCAGGTCTGGTGCCAACGTCAGCCAAAGCGTTAATGGAGCGAGGTCTCCGTCCCCCTGGGTCTCTTCCTGCCCACCCCCCATATCCCCACTTTCACCTCTCCACCCAGTATCTTAGGGCCCTTACATGGGCATTCCGAGGAGCGTAGGGAATGTGGGGATCGAGGCTCGATCTGAGCCATTCTTAGGGTTTTTTTTTTAAATGACAGCTTGATTGTAGTGTAATTGATATACAATCAACCACATATTCAAATTTGTTACGTTTTGACGTTTGTATACACCCGTGAAACCAACACCACAAAATACTCCAAAGTTTCACCTTTTCAATCCATCCCCTCTGATGCCCATCACCAGGCAAGCACAGATCCACTCTGTTGCTAGATCAGTTTGCATTTCCTATAATTTATATAAGTGGAATCATAGATATATACGTTTTGTCTAGCTTCTTTCACTCAGAGTGATTAATTTGGGTTCACCAGGTGCTGGTGCGTTTATCAATGGTTATTCCTTTTAGTGCTGAGTAATGAGTCATTGCATGAATGTTCCACAGTTTGTATATCCACTCACCTCCTTGTGAAGATCTGGGTTGTTTCCAGTTGTCTGCTGTTACAACCAGGGCTGATATGAACATTGTGTACAATCTTTGTTTGGACAAATACTCTTGATTTCTCAGATAAATATCTAGGGGTGGATTGGCTGGCTCTTATGGTGGCTTATGTTTAACGTCTAAGAAACTGCCAAAGTGATTGTACAATTTTACATTCCTGTTCTGTGTATGCTCCAAAGCAGCACCAGCACTTGGTATGGTCAGTGTTTTTAATTTTAGAGATTCTAATAAGTGTGTAGGAGTACATTTCATTGTGGTTTTAATTTGTATTTCACTTAATTAATTAATTTCACTTAATTTGTATTTCAGAACTTGAGTGTCTTTATCTGCTTGTTTGCTGTCTGTCTTCTTTAAGGAAGTGTTTTGTTCAAATCTTTTACCCTCTTTTAATTAAGTTGTTTTCTTATTGTTGAGTTTTGAGAATTCCTTATATATCCTGGATACAATTCCTTTACCAGACATGTGATTTGTATATATTCCTCTGATTCTGTGGATTATCTTTTCATTTTGTTTAAAGTTTTTCAAAGAGAAATTTTTAATTCTGATGAAGTCCAATGTATCAATGTTTTCATTTTTATGGCTCATCCTTCTGGTGTCATAAGTAACAAACCTTATATAGTGCACTTACACTTTGCATTTGGTGTATGGTGTGAGATACCATTTGAAGTTTATTTTTTGTGCAAATGGATGTTTAGTTTTCCAGGACTGTTTTTTTTTTAATGATCCTTTTTCTACTGAATTATCTCTGCATCTCAGTTGAAAATCAGAGGCCTGTATTTGTATGAATCTATTGTGTACTTTCTATGTTCAATTGGTTTATTTGTCTATTTTTATGCAAATGTTCCAAACTGTCTTCATTACTGAAGCTTTACAGTAATTCTTGAAGTCAAGTAAGATAAATCTTCTAACTTTGTTCTTTCATAAAGTTGTTTTGGTCATCCAGGACCCTTTGCTTTGCCTCATGAATTTTAGAATCAGCTTGATAAATTCTACCAAAAGAGTCTAGTGGGATTTTGTTTGGGATTCCATTGAATCTACAGATAAGTTTAAGAGAATTAACATCTTGAAAATATTGAGTATGTCATTCTATGAACATGGTATATCTTCTCATTTAGAGCTTCTTTTATTTCTTTCATATGTGTTTTATAGTTTTTGGTTTCATACATCTTTTGTCAGATTTATCTAATTTTTCAATGTTACTGTAAATGGTATTTTAAGTTCAGTGTATCTTTGTTAAAAGCTAATATATGGAAATAAAATTGGCATTTGCATCCTGATCTGGATTTTGCTAAACTCACTTATTAGTTACTAGAACTAATTAGTAGACACCTTTTGAGTAGACACCTTAAGATTTTCTACATACATTAACACAAATGTGTTATGTATAAGTAAAAAGAGTATTATACTTTTCTTCCCAGTCTGAATGTCTTTTACTTCATTTTCATGCCTAATTGTACTGGCTAGAGCCCTAGTTCAATAATGCCAAGGAGGAGTGAGAACAGATATCTTTTTCCTCTGGACCCTAGGGGGGAACATTCAATCTTTCACCACTAGGAATAATGTTGACTGTAGGGTTTTGTAGCTGTCCTTATCAGTATAAGGAAGCTTCCTTCCATTACTAGTGATTACTTATTTTCTATCCACTTGCTACTTAATAATTGAGAGAGGTGGACTGAGGCTCCTGAGATGTCTGTTACTGCTTGAAGTCCTATCACGTTTTTGTTTCATGCATTTTGAAGCTTTATATTCAGATTAGTATGTCCTCTTGATTGATTGACTGCTTTATCATTATGAAAAGAGCCTCCTTATCCCCAGATTCTTTGCCCTGAATTCTACTTTTCTGACATTAGTAGCCACTCCAACTCTCTTTTTTGATGGATGAACATCAAAAGATGAGCTACCTTCCTCCACTCTTTTTGTTTTTAACTTCCTGTGTCTTTTTAAAAAATTTTTATTGGTGTGTAGTTGATTTACAATGCTGTGTTGGTTTCAAGTATACAGCGAAGTGAATCAGTTATACATGTACTTATGTCTCTTTTTTTTTAAAGAATTGTTTTCCCATATAGGCCATTGCAAAGAATTGAGTCGAGTTTTCTGTGCTGATTAAATTGGGAGATTAGGATAGAATAGGTAACTAAATGTGCTGAGGGGACGACAGAGGATAAGTTTGGATTGCATCACCGACTCAATGGATCCGGAGCAAGCCCCAGGAGATGGTAAAGGACAGGGAAGCCTGGCATGCTGCAGTCTATGGGGTAACAAAGAGTTGGACGTGACTGAGTGACTGAACAACAACCTGTGTTGTACAGCAGGTTGTTATTAGTTATCTATTTTATATATTATAGTGTCTATCTGAATAGTTATCTATTTTATCCTAATCTCCCAATTTATCCTTCCTCCCTCCTATGTCTTTATATTTAGTTTCCTTAAGGTTTCCATAGAATCAAAGTATCATCCTCAATATATTTATGAACTGTGAAGGGAGAAATAGTAGATTTACAGTGAAGAAACACAGCAGAAACTACCTTATGTATGTGACTAAGGTTGATATCCGGAGAAGGCAGTGGCACCCCACTCCAGTGCTCTTGCCTGGAAAATCCCATGGACAGAGGAGCCTGGTGGGCTGCAGTCCATGGGGTCGCTAAGAGTCAGACACAACTGAGCTACTTCACTTTCACTTTTCACTTTCATGCATTGGAGAAGGAAATGGCAACCCACTCCAGTGTTCTGGCCTGGAGAATCCCACGGACAGGGGAGCCTGGTGGGCTGCCATCTATGGGGTCTCACAGAATCAGACACGACTGAAGTGACTTAGCAGCAACAGCAAGGTTAATATCATCAGTAATAAGACAGGCTGGCATCATGTAGCTCCTGATACATGGACTGAGAAAGACATAGCATCACTTCTGTGGTTTTCTTGCCAAAAAGGCACAGTCTCTTTCCAATCATTAGAAGGCATCAGTCAGTTCAGTCAGTCAGTTCAGTCGCTCAGTCGTGTCCGACTCTTTGCGACCCCATAAATCGCAGCACACCAGGCCTCCTTGTCCATCACAAACTCCCGGAGTTTACTCAAACTCATGCCCATCGAGTCAGTGATGCCATCCAGCCATCTCATCCTCTGTCATCCCCTTCTCCTCCTGCCCCCAATCCCTCCCAGCATCAGGGTCTTTTCCAATGAGTCAACTCTTCGCATGAGGTGGCCAAAGTATTGGAGTTTCAGCTTCAGCATCAGTCCTTCCAATGAACACCCAGGACTGATCTCCTTTAGGATGGACTGGTTGGATCTCCTTGCAGTCCAAGGGACTCTCAAGAGTCTTCTCCAACACCACAGTTCAAAAGCATCAATTTTTCGGTGCTCAGCTTTCTTCACAGTCCAACTCTCACATCCATACATGACCACTGGAAAAACCATAGCCTTGACCAGATGGACCTTTGTTGGCAAAGTAATGTCTCTGCTTTTTAATATGCTATTTAGGTTGGTCATAACAACGCATCAGACACACTCAAATTGAAAGGCATTTTACAAAGTGACTGATCAGTACACTTCCAAAATGGAAAGATGAGAAAAGACTGAGCCACTGTTACAAACTGGAAAAGACTAAGGAAAACTAGCAACTGAATGGGATGTGGAGTCCTGGAATAGACCTAGGCACAGTGGGAAATGGGGTCACAGTAAGTCTGGTGGTGTAGGTGACATCCTGGCTCTGGCCACCCACATCCCCGGGGTGATGAGCTCCTGTCTGTCCCATTTCCGCCCCATTTGTCCCTCGGTTCTGTTCCTTTTTCCTCTTTTCCTACCTTCTTTTGGACTGAGTAATTTTTGAGCCCATTTTCTCTGTGTAGTTAACTCTTAGCTGGAACTCTGCTGTGTTCCTGGTCGCTTTAGGGTGTGGTATCGACTATCATTTCTCATCCCAGTCCCCAGGGGTCACCCTACCTCCTGAGTAGGGTGGGAGCCCTGAGGGCATGCTCTCCCCTGGACGTGTAGTGGCCATGCAGTGGACGTCTACATGTGTAGAAACCCCTCAAATCTTACTCTCAAGTGTCTTTTAGGAGATTAAAGATGAGCCATGAAACTCCTGCAATATTTTTATTATATAGTAGATTGAAGAGGGGAGCCCCCAAATTATGGAATATTTTAATATTTAAGCTAAATCAATGTGATTACCACCTAAAACTAAAGTGTGAGTGTGGATACATATTGACATTATTATGTCAGGGGAGGGGACAAACACTCAGAGTTCCCTTTGTGACTTCTGTTTATGGAAAGTTCCAGAATAGGTAACACGCCTAGGTGGCAGAGGTGGGGAGGGGAAGGGGCTCGAGGGGACTTCCTGGCCTGGGTGTTCTGTGTCATGATCTGGGTGCTGGTTGTAAGCATTAGTGAAAAACCCTCCAAGCTGCTAGGCTTCAGATGTGTGCAGGTAACTGAGGGCATGTAATTCCTCAGTAAAAGAAAGCAGGGATGTGCTGGCTACGTGTGTGTTCACAGGTGATCACACGTGTGGGTGGTGAATACAGCAATGGATGGATGGGTGCGTGGACCCATTTAGGGCATGATGCTGTCCTCCTGGTCCTCATGGGATGTGGCCTCACTGGTTGATGACATCGAAGTCCCTGCAGGAGGTGATGGCAGCTGGCCAGACCCAGGCCACAGGGCCCTGTGAAAGCCTGGCTCACTGACCACTCTAGACCTCAAGTCTGCTCTCAGAAACACCAGCAGCCTTCCAATGCCATCCTGGCCACGTGGTCCGCCCACTCACTGTAGCCTCCCTCATAACTGTAATTGGGCTCCAGGTCGATTATCTCATCCATTTATCCACCCAGAATCCAGGCCTCCTGACCCAAGGGATAAAACAGGAGGCTCCCACTGGTTAATTGCTTCCCCCTCAGGCAGGTTGTTTTGCTAGCGAGGGCTGAGTGTGTCTCCCTGGGGATGAACTAGGAGGGGCTGCAGCCACAGTGGTGGGATGAACAAGCATCCCAAGGTCCAGACGCCGCCTCCCCAGGTAGGGGCCCCAGAGCAGCCTGGGACGGGCCCTTCTGGGGTGTGGCCAGCTGGCCTCCTGTGTGCTGCCGCCTTGCTCTCCCACTTCCCCATCTGCTGTGCCCAGCTCCACCCTCAGCAACCCCAGCCTCCACACTGCCCCCGGCCTCCACACTGACCCCTGCCGGTCCCAGTTCCTGCCCTCGCCCAGCTGGGGGAACCCTCAGCCAGAACCCTTGGCTTGCAGGGCACTGCTGACTGCAGCCTGCTCATGGGCAGGGGCTGGAACCCCTCAAAGAGAGAAGACCCAGGACCCCCGGCAGAACCCGCTGCCCAGAACCACACAGGCAGGGCCTGAGCTTGCAAAGAGCCTCCATGGATGGACTGCCAATGGTAAAACTATCCTCAGCAGCTTGGGCCATTCTCAGCTCCTCCTAAGCCCCCCAGATTCCTGGATCTCCCGGAATTCCTGGATTTCTGGGCCTGAGCAGCAACCCCACCAACAGCCTATCCATAGACCTGGGAATTCCACAGCAGTCTCTCCTGCCCTGCACCAGTACACACACCCTCTCTCCTGGTCTCTCACTCATCCTCTTGTCCAAGTTTTGTTGATTTTCTTGCTCTTCTTCAAGAATTGAGTTTTGAATAAATTCACCATGCCAATCCTTAATTTTTCCCTCTTTGGTTACATCTGATTTAGTCCCTGTCTGAGCCCCTGTCTGAGCCTCTGTTGATTCTGTAGCTATTTATTGAGCTTTTTGAGTCATAAACTCAGATAATTTACTTTCACTCTTGATTTTCAAATAAGTGCATTTAAGGTCTTAACTGTTCCTTTCTGAGACTTCCAGCCATATCCCTGAGGCCACGACTTGGACTCTCTCATTGTCTTGTTCTAGCTGCCCCAGTGCAGGTCTCGGGCAGAGGCAGAGGGCATGGAAGCATGCACAGTCCCCCCACCCTGGGCATTCCCTAGGTGGCACCCAGCCCGCAGGTCTCTCTTGCTCTGAATCCTAGGCAGTGGGGTGGCCCTGGACCTAGTGCTAACCGGAAACCTGGGGCCAGCAACTGCTCTGCCCCTGGAGACACAGTTGCTCCCCATTGGTCCTCTTGCCCAGGAAACTAGAGGATCCAGAGTGAGGACAGAAACCCCCCATCCAGGGGGGCGCTGAAGGCAGGGGCTGGGACCAATGTCCTGCCCTGGATCACTTGGACTCCCTCCCAGCTGGTCAGGGGATCAGTCACTCACATCCCAGGCAGACATCTGGACCCACTGAGGTATTTCCTATCCTCTTCCGGTGCATGGCTGCTCCGGTGCTGTGGGTGGAATGTGGCCACAGTGACCAAGCTGCCTTGGGAAGCTGCTGAGACCCCCTTGGTGGTGTGACGTATGCTCACTGCTGTGAATAGTCCGTGTCTGAGAACCACGTGTCACCTCTGGACCTTGTTATTGGGGTGGGTACACAATCACACACATACCATAGAACATACGTACATAGATGTGCATGTTATACATCCTTTATTATACAAATATGTATTATACATATTGTACCCAAATAAATATATTGCACACAATTTAAATATAAACAAATATATGTGGAAATGAGACAATGTACATGTATAACATATAACACGTATTTATGTATAAATACACACATGTAGGTAAGGTAGGTAATAGGTAGGTAAGGGGCTTTCCTGGTGGCTCAACAGTAAAGAATCTGCCTGCAATGCAGGACACCTGGGTTCACTCTGTAGGTCAGGAAGATCCCCTGGAGAAGGGAAAGGCTATCCACTCCAGTATCCTTGCCTGGAGAATTCCATGGACAGAGGAGCCTGGCAAGCTACAGTCCACGTGGCCGCAAAGAGTCAGACATGACTGAGCAACTAACACTTTCACAATATTTAGGTAAACATGCTCACAAACACTGCACAGAATGACCTCAATCCTGTTGATTGCATTATTCAAATTTTGCCCTATTTTTTGTTTGCTCCTTGATTCCTTGATTTCTAAAAGAAAAATCTTAAACATTACTGTGAGTTTGCCCATTTCTCCTGGAATTTCTATCAATTTTGCATTTCATATTTTAAAACATATGATGCTGATGGAAGTTTGTGTTCAGTTGAGTCTTGACTCTTGTGACCCCATGGACTGTAGCCTGCCAGGCTCCTCTGTCCATGGGATTTCCCAGGTAAGAATCCTGCAGTGAGTTGCCATTTCCTTCTCCGGGGGATCTTCCTGACCTAGGGATTGAACCCATGTCTCCTACGTTGGCAGGTGGGGTGCTTACCACTAAGTCACCGGGAAGATGGATAGCAGTTCACAAAACTGCTACCTTCCTAACGGATTTGTACCTTTTCCCACTCAAATTCCCCTTTTTTCTTAAAAGGACAAACTCAAACCTTAAGTTCTGTCTTCTGCTGGACCTGCATCCACACTTTTTCTTTGGAGAGTGTTTGGTAGGCTGACTCCCTACTGTTGTCAGCTAAAACATGTCTCTTTGAGGTGATAGACGAAAATATACAGAAAAGAAGAGAAATTTGTTGTTATCTTTTATCCCAATAAGAGACTCACACTTTGTGTGTGTCATAATTGCTAATAAGTTTTGATTATTTCCTGCCATCTTTTTCTAGGAAAACCATCTTCTACTGCTATTTTCTCTTTCTTTGACTAGGTTTCTGCTTGGTCCCTCTGGTGGTTTGATGTTATTCCTCTCTCTCCATCCTCTGGAGGTTACCTGGGCTGTGATATACATTTGCAGGTCTCACTGCCTGCATTCTTCCCCCAGCACTGTGACGGTCAGCATCTATTTCTTCCTTGTGACAAGAGGAGACCTTATCTCTACTTGTATTGGCTGCGTTCATTCCTCTGCCAGCTCCCAGGGACACAAGCTGGGATTTCTATAAGAACGATCATTAAATTTTCCTTTTACATCATGCCTCAATAGTGGTAAAACTTAGCCCTACATTTAGTATTTTCTTTGCTTCCGCAGAGCTCAGTCTATGTGTGAAACAGGTCCTTCCCTCTTGTGTTCTCTGCTTGCCTTTTGTCTGTAGAAAAACTTTAGCCAAGAACAAGTTTAATCAGAGAAGTGAAAAAATACAAAAGCAGAGGAAAACAGTCAAATGGGACAAAACAGTAACAGTCAGGAAGCTGAGTCAAGGACCTTTAGTTCTTCCTCCAGTGCTATACGGAATATTCTGAGCCATCTCCTGTGAGATGTCCTGTAGGTACTGAAGCCCTTACCAGGTGCAGAAGTTAACTGTTGATGCATAATGACCAGAGTGTAGCTATGACATAAGCTGCCAAAATTCCAAGAACTGGCCTCAAGGATGTGGGAACAAGCCGACCCTGGAACTGAAGATTAACGTACTTGAGACAATCAGGGTGATGCTGCTCAGACCACTGAGGACCAATCACCAGATGACAGTCAGAGCTGACTGTGCTGTTTCTGTGTGGAGTCCCTCCCTCTGTTCGTGAACATTCTTGCCCACTGATTGTCAGTAAAGTGGGGGAAGTCAACTTTTGGACAGGTGTCCACCCTTCCCCTACCCCTGTTGCTGGCATCCAAAATAAACCAAACTTTCCTTTCCACCAACCTGGCCTCTTTATTGTCTTTTGAGCAGTGAGAAACTGGACCCCACTTTTGGTTACGTGTGTGTGTGTGATGGACCAAATGTTCTGTGTTGTTTAGTTACTAAACTCACGTTCGACTCTTTTGTGACCCCATGGACTACAGCCCACCAGGCTCCTCTGCCCATGGGATTTCCCAGGCAAGAATACTGGAGTGAGTTGGCATTTCCTTCTCCAGGGGATCTTCCTGACCCAGGAATCGAACCCACATCTCTTGCATTGCAGGCAGATTCTTTACCACTGAGACACCAGGGAAGCCAGATGTTTGTGTCCTGTTTGTGCTTGACAACTGTTTGTATTCCTTCCCCAAATCCCTATGTTGAAGCCCTGATCCCATGTGGCTATATTTGGAGCAAGGACCTCTAAGGAAGTAAGGTTAAGTGAGGTCATACCGTAGGGCCCAGACATGGCGGAATCAGTGCCCCTGTAAGAGGAGAGCTAGAGACCCCTCCTTCCCTGCACACTCCGAGGAAAGACCACATGAGGACGTGGAATGAGGCGTCCAGGAACAAGAGAGGCAGAAGCTTCAGCAGGAACCACCCTACCCACACCTGACCGCCACTCCCAGCCTCTAGGACTGTGGGAAAGTGAGTGGTCCGGCTGTGGTTCTTTGTTACACAGCCCAAGCTAACTAAGACAGTGTGTTTCGCTTTTCTGTAATTCTCTGAGAAGTTCTTTCAGAGAGGATGCATGAGAAGCACGTTTCAGACAGTAAAGAATCTACCTGCAATGCGAGAGACTCAGGTTTGATCCCTGGGAGGGGGCAGACCCCTGGAGAAGGGCATGGCCACCCATTCTTGTATTCTTGCCTGGAGAATTCCATGGATAGAGGAAGAGTGAGTTACAGTCCATGAGGTCACAGAGAGTCGGACACGACTGAGCGAATCACTTTCTTTATGCGTTTTAAATGTCTTTATTTGGTGCTGCCACTTAAGCGCTAGGTTGGCTGGATCTATAATTCTAGATGAAAAAACAAAAAACAAAAAAACCAAGGACCCCACAGTGCCTGAGCACCTGCAGGGTGGGGCAGGGGAAGGCATGAGCGGCTGAGCCCCAGGTTGGAGGCTGGAGCTGGGGTCTAGGAAAATGAGGAAGAGGGAAGGGGTGTGTGTGTGTGTGTATGTTGGGAAGGTTGCTGATTGGAGGAGCAGTCATGAGTTTGGACTAGCGGGCTGCAGGGTGTCCACAGGAGACCCCCTTGGGCCCCAGGAAGCTTGGCTGTGGCTGGAAGAAGTCTTGTGACTCAGACACAACCCCCACCACTGCTCATGTCTGCAACTCCATCTGAGGGACAAACAAGAGACCAGTGACGCTGGTGGGGAGGGCAGGTTTGGTGCGGGGTTTGCACAACATCCCAAGGCTGCTGACAGTCTGTGAGTTGCTGATACTAAACTGGGTGGCCCCTCAGTCCACACCCACCACCCACTCCTCCCTGGAGGAGAGGGGAGGGAGCACCATGTGCAGGAGAGGTCCTACCCCGGGTGCTTCTGTGTCCTCCCGGCCTGGACCCGGGATAGCACACAGGCAGAGACCTCTGCAACACAGGAGGTGGGAGCTTGCCCTCCTGCCCCACCATGGGACTCAGCCCTGATGGTCATGGGAACTGGGGTCCCAGGTTGCCCCAGGCCAGGTGAGGGTCTGAGTTAGGGCACAGTGGAGGCCCTCTCGGGGCCGTGGGCCTGAGGAGGAGGCCACAGGGAGCGCTGACTCTCCGGGGAGCCTCGGCCTGGGGCAGATGCACTGCTGGGGTGGACGTGCTGCTCAGAGGATGTGGCCAGGAGGGCGTCCACAGGCCACCAGCAGGCTCAGGAGAGGCAGTGTTGGCTGGCGGAGTCCCAGTGGCCAACTTGACCCTGAGGCCCTGCCTCATGGCCAGAGCCTGTCTGTGCCCTGCTCGGCCCTCCTCCCAGAGCACCCCAATGCCTCCAGTTCATGAGCTGGCCATGAGGGGCAGACACCCCCAGTGGGCCGTAGACGGACCAACCCCGCCGGCCCCCACAGAGCCAGGCAAGCTGGGTCTCTGGTCAGTAGTAGGCCTCGAACCAGGCAGCCACTTTCTGGAGGATGGCCTTGTGGTTGTCATACAGAGGAATGCGCTCATCTACCACCTGCCAGCGGATGGCCATCCCCTCGTCACAGGAGTACAGATGCTGCGGAAACAGAGGGGAGTCCTGAGTCCCTCCTGAGCGGCCCTGCCCTCACCCCTACACCCCAAGCCCATAGATGGCAGAAGAACGGTGGAGACCCCAAGACCTGGCTCCCAGCCCTGCTACAGACTGGTTAGCGACTGCTCCCTTTGTACTTCTACTCTACGGTGCTAAGATCATCCCCTTCAGGCACAAATCAGAAAATGCCTGTGAAGCCCCAGAAACCTTGGGGGGGGGTACAGCCTTATTCTGGGGTTTTCTGTCCTGCAGACAAGGCCTGGGTTTTGTTCCCTGGGACTTCCTGGCCCAGTTCTGGATTCGGGGTCTGTAAGGGGATCAAAGTACACAGGACAATATCCCCACAAGTGTGCATGAACCAGGCTCACCTGGGCATGAGCCTGGAGGCCCCAGGGTCCTCCTCTGCCCCACCCACCTGCTGCTGCCCTCTGGCCTCTCCCAGCTGCCCCCACGGACTCTCTGGTACAACTCAAACTCCACAGCCCCCTTCTCTGGTCCTGGCCAGCTCTGGCCCCAGGCTGGGGAACCCCTCAGACACCTCCCTGCAGGCCCCAGGGTCCCTCTGGAGCACCGATGTCCCCAGCCTGAAACCCAGGCCACTTACAGAGTTCAGCCTCTTGAGCTCCATATTGCTCTGGTCTTGGAAGTGGATGCTCACAGCCACCGTCTCGATCCAGGCATTGTCCGTGTTCCTGGGGTCATCCACGTATCCTCTGTACACCTGGGAGGCAGCACAGGTGTGATGGACCCCTGATCCCCTGGCTTTCTCCCAAAGGGAGGGCCCCAAGCCTTCTCTGGGCCTGGGCCACTGTAAGCATGGCTGTCCACCATGCCTGAGCCCCACCTGGCCTCTCCCCGCCTCGTCCTCCTGCCCCCATCACGGCCTTCAACTCGACTGACCCATCACAGGGGCTCACAGCCTCACTCATCACCCTCTTGCTCTTTGGCCTGGCATCCTTGGCATCCAGACCTGCCTCGACTTCCCTTGGAAGGATTAAAAAGGACGGGTGGACCTCCAGACTAAGTAAAAGAAGCCAGATACCAAAGGCCTCACGCTAAATGATTCCACCGACAATAAATGTCCAGAACAGGCAAATCCACGGAGACAGAAGGCAGCCTCGTGGGTGCCAGGGGCTGGAGGGAGGGGGGTGAAGGGGGTGACTGCTCAAGGGAACGGGCTCCCTTTTGGGGGTGACAGCACATTCTTGAACTAGACAGAGGCGGGGACCACACCAGGCTGTCCATGCACCAAAAGCCACTGAACTGCTCACTTCAGAATGGCTCATTATACATTACTTAGATTTAACCTCAACAAACAAAGTTTAATTATTTTTTACTAAGTAGAGAAAAGAGAGACGGTGATGCTCCCTCGGGGCTGCAGCAGACAAACCACGCGGAGCTGCTGGGTTTGCAGGGCAAGCCGTAAATATCAGCAATTGCCTACTTCATCCTAAGGTGCAACAGAGGCAGAACCAGCGGCTCAGACGCCCACTTGGAGGACTGCTTAAATAAATCAGGGCACAGAATGCTACATGGTTGTGAAAAAGAACAAGGTGGATTTGGAAATATAGACCTACAACTATGGCCTTTGGAAATTCACTGAAATGCTCAGGGCAAGAGTGAATGTGAGCTGGACACCAGGCCTGCCCTGACCCAAAGGCAACAGAGGCTGTAGGCCGTCCTTGACCTCGGGAGGAGAAAGCCCAGATAGGGAAGGAAGGCAAGGGGCCCAGAGCCAGGTCACATGGTCCCAGTTCTCCCTCCAGGAGCTGTGGGCAGTGGGGCAGGCTCCCCACCCGGCTCCTGCAGCCTGCCCAGCAGCCGGCACGAACACACACCCCAGGGCCCAGACGCACAGATGGGAGCAAAGCGAAGAGCCACCTCACCTCCGTGCCCTGAGTCAGCAACCTCTCAAAGGAAGACCAGAACTCTCTTCGCAGGACCTGCTTTAGCTTCCGGGGCAGCACCTCTCCTGGGTCCCGGGAGCCCTGAGCAGAGAGGGAGGCGGGGACAGGTGGGCAGGGCGGTTTGGGACCTGTGTCCTCTGGCCACCCACTCGGCATGGGCAGCGGGCCAGTCCCCTGAAGCCTCAGGCAGATGAGCCTCTGGCAGCAGCCGCCTTGGGGCCAGAGTGACATTGCCCAGAGCCCACTGTCCATGTCAGCCCAGGAGGCCAGGGTGTCACAGCCTTTGAGGGGTACCGGGCACTTTGGGGGAGCCAGTGCCCTGACCTCTGCCACCTGGCTACCAGACAAAGGGCTGTGTCTCGTCTGTGTGAGTCCCCACCCCACCTCGACTCTGTTACAGTGCGCTGGACTCCTGGCCACTCCTGATGCACCCTGCCCTGGACACGGGCATGCATCTGCACTCCCCTCTCCACCCATCTAGGGCACCTCTCAGCCCACATCACATCTACTGCTCTGGCCTGGGAGACACCCTACCCCACACTGCCTGGGGTGGCGGGATCTTCAGCTGTGCCTCAGGGGACAGCTGCCCATTGACATTGCCCAGGAAGATGCCCATTGTCAAGAAAGACTGAAGTGCTGGAGATGGAGGTTGAAGGGTGCTGGAGAATCCTCTGGAAGAGACGGCCCAGCCTGGGCTCAGCCTCCTTCCTCACCTGGAGGGCACAGGGGTCATGGCTGCAGGAGCCGGACCACCTAGAGCCTGGAATCCTGGCTGGGGTCTGCCCCATGCACACGCATTAACTTGCTGCCCTTCCAGGTGGATGCCGGGAAAACCCAGTGAATTCCTGCTGAGCTGGGGTAGATAATGGACTCCAGGGGCAGGCTCGGGGAGGGGCCCCTCAGAGCTGTACTGGGACACTGGCCTGGGGCCTGTGGATGCACGGTCCTCCTGCCTGGACTTGTCTGTTCTGACCCTAGAGTAACAACAGGGTTTGGGAGAGCAGAAGGCAGATGGACGGGTCAGAATTCGAGTGGTTGGACCGCTTGGGCAGGACAGGCCCAGCAGAACACAACCCAGTTATGTCGCCATGAGCCCGTCAGTTCTGCTGCCCCGAGCTGAGGACACGTGTATGCCCCGCCCTGCCCTCAGCAACACCATCCTGCCCTCGGGGCTCAGCTTAGGCGCCAGGGCCAGGGTAGGTGCGTGCCCAAGATGCCCTGCCCCAACCCTGAGCTCTGCAGGGGCAGTCCCAGCCCTGAGCCTGGTGCCTGGACCCAGCAGGTGCTCAGTCGGTGCTTCCACTCCAAACAGCACCTGAACGCATCTTCACAACCACCAAATGAAGAGCTAGGAGAGAGCACTCCTTCTAAGGCAAGGACCAGCCTTTGTCTTTCAGAATGGGTACAGCATCCAAGCTGTCCAGGGCAGCGACCGCTGGTGGCTGGTGACCTGTTGGTGGCAGAGATGGCAAAAGAGCATGGGGCCTGGGACAGCGGGGGGCTCACCCCAGGCAGCATCCAGTGCTCAGAGGGGCCACGCTTCACCACCAGCACCTCCAGCATCTTCTTGACGCTCTTCCTGCAGATGGCACCATCCAGGCTCCGCCTCCAGCTACAGGAGGATGCAGGGGGAAGGGTCAGCCTGCCCCTGCCCCCGCCTGGGAGGCCACCTGCTAGGCCACTAACACCTGCTCCAGGGGAGAGGAGCCATCTGCTCCCATAACCTCCAGTCCAACCAGAATGGGTCAGCTTTGTTGGACAGTATTTTTCTACCAAAAGCCTTAAAGAAGCTCATGCCCTGGACCCAGCCCTTCCTCCTCTGTCACCCTGGAAGTGAAGGGTGAATTGGCATGGATCTTTGCATAGTGACAAAGTCCTCCCCAAGGGGCCTCTGAAGGAGAGGACCCACAGGGAAGTGAGCCAGCCTGCAGGGAAGAAGGTTTGGGGCTCTCCTGGCAGCACCCACATTCATCCCCTGCCCCACCACTGGGTGGGGGGCTGGGCGACACTGTGCTTATCGGGGGCTACTCACCGGGTGATCACAGGCTGCAGCGTGTGATTGGGGCCGAAGTAGCTGAGGTCCCCGCGGCCACGCAGTCCCGTGCGGCCCATGGGGTTCCTGGGTAGACAGGGGTCAGCTCAGCCCACTGCCAGCGGCTGGAGACCCCAGCCAGGGCAGCAGGCAAGGGCTCTGCAGGGGCTGTGTGCCAGCTCCACCCACAGCTGCCCTGGTCCAGGGTTCTTGGAGCCCAGGCAGCTCCCCTGGACAGGACCAAGGAGGCCCAGACCACACCCCAGAGCCCAGGGGCCCCTTGACCAGGCTGGGTGACTCTGCGTCACGCACTGGGGCTGTCCACTGCAAACCCCAGCCCTCAGGGACTCCAGGGTGGGCGGCGGCTACCTTGCGGTGGGCTGGAGAGGAAAGGGGCTTTTGGGAGCAGAAACCAGCCCCACCGCAGACGTCCCCCCGCCAAAGAGCGCCTGCCTGACCATGGCACCATGCCCGAGGGCCTCGGCCGGCCTATGAGCTGGCATCAATGGTCCCCCCTCTGCCTGTGACACTCGGCCTTGTTCTCTTCCTGCACACCGTGTCCCCCCCAATGCCCTCCCCCTTCCAGGGCTGGAGACACTCCTGGTCACCTCAGTTTCCCTGCCCCACTTGTCTCCACCACCCTGTCCCGCAGCTTCTATCCCAGTGATCACCCCTCCCTGTTCCAGAACATTCCCAGAGGCCCACCACCCACCTCCTCCCGCAGGCAGTTTCCCTCAACAACCCCTGCTCCATGGGATCTCCAAATCCCAGCTGACTGTGATCCTGTCCCTGGCCTCCGCCTGGTGGTGCAGCCTCCCCAGCGACCCTCAGACCCCAGGCCAGCACACAGTAGGCATCCACCAAGGGCCTGCTGGGCCTGACGCCTCGGGTCCCCTTTCGTCTCTACATCGATTCCACACCTGTGCAGTGGGGCATACCATCCCTACAGCAGAGACCTGGAAACGCCAGCCCAGCAGCCCTTTAACATTGCCCCTGCTTTATTCTCACAGTGGGGTCTGCGTTTTACCCTGTCTCTACACCTCAGGAACGGAGGTCCTAAAGGCTGTGTCAGAGAACCAGGGCACAGTGCCCGGGCCAGCAGGCCCAGTTCACTGTCCCCACCCCTCCACACGTGTCCAGGGAGACGGCCAAGTGTGGGCCTCTGGGGTTGGTAATAAAGTACTTTATGTTGATGTTTCTTTCTTCCATAGCTTGTTTGTTTTTATCAGAAAAATTTAAATCAACGCTGAATGTTCATTGGAAGGACTGATGCTGAAGCCGAAGCTCTAATACTTTGGCCACTTGATGCGAAGAGCTAACTCATTGGAAAAGGCCCTGATGCTGGGAAAGATCGAGGGAAGGAGGAGCAGGGAAGCAGAGGATGAGATGGTTGCATGGCATCATCGACTCAACAGACATGAGCTTGGGCAAACTCCAGGAGATAATGAAGGACAGGAAGCCTGGCATGCTGCAGTCCATGGGGTCCCAAAGAGTTGGACATGACTGAGTGACTGAACAACAAATCAGAAAAACACCAACTTTGCTGGAGACGAAGCCTGACCCCAGAAGGAAAACTGCAGAGGTGGCTGAGGAGGGCTGGAGAAGGGGAAGGGGGTGGGTACACTCACAGAGGGAGCCCATCTCGCACTGCGTAGACTCCATGGAAGCTGCGCCGGTCCAGCGGCCCGTCTACCGCGTTGTAGCTGATCTTGGACAGAGGTTCCAGGGCACTGGAAGGGAGAGGAGAGGTCGAATCCCCAACAGAGATGGCGGGAGGCAGAGTGGCCACAGTGACCCCTCGTCCACCAGGGGGGCTCCTCCCTGGCCACAGGCGCCCCCAGCCACATGCCTCCCAGCATGTCCCAGCCCCCAGGGAGGATGGGGAGCCCACCCAGGCAGAAAGCAGGGTACTCACTCCCCCACGGGGTCCACCAGGTCCTTGTCCTTCCTGTCGGCCGTGTAGAAGGGCGGGTTGTACATGAGGAACTCCGTCTGCGGGACACAGGGTCTCCTTGACTCAGACGGTCACCACCCCAGGCTGGCCGGCACCCAGGACAGCTGATTGCAGAGCCCTGGGAGTGCCCAAAGGATGCAGAAGTCCACGCTGGACTGACCTGAGGACACACGCACCTGGGCCAGCCGTGGTCAAGGGGAGTCTCCCCAGGTGGGAGGACGGGGGGCTAGGCTGGACTCCAAAGCGAGGAGTCCCCTGGCAGAGACAGGAGGAGTGACAGCCCGGGATGTGCCAGGAAAACCAGAGAGACGGCCTGTGGGGGGCATACCCCCAGGCCTCCCCCTTTGCTCCCTCTCACTCTCCACCTCCAGCCTCCCCAGCACTCAGAAAGGGGATAGGGGCTGTTCTCCGGGGATGTGGGCTTGAGGACAAGCGGGGCAGTGGGCCCCGTGTGGATAGCAGCCCCAGTGTCCAGGTTCATGGCCCAGCTCCAGCCCTCGGGTCTCGTGGACTGCGCTTCCCCCTTCATCTGTCCCTCATGGCCCTTCGAGGCTGCAGTGGGCTCAGCCAGCCTGGGGCCCAGGCCACTCCCCCCAGGACACTGGGCCCCTGCAGCCTGGTGGGTAAGGCCAACACAGGCACTCACCTCCCAGGGCACCTTCTCGTTGGGCACCGGGAACCTCAGGACAGAGCAACTCGGGTAGAGCAGGTGCCGGGCATTCACGTGGTAGGCATCGCAGGGGTCCTCCGCCTTTGATCTGCTGTCCAGCTCAGGGCCCCGCCCCACTGAGGCCTTCTCGGGTACTGGGAGTGGGGACAGGGACAGGGCCACCCTCTGAGGTCCTTTCCCCCAATCTTCCGGGCCACCTCCACCTCTCTGAGCCCGCTTTGAACGCCAGCCCCAAAGAGAGCACCATCCCCAGGGTTCCCATTACTGCAGCCCAGGAGGACCGAGGCCTGGGCTCAGGCCCCCATTGCCTGTGGCAGCTCCCAGCAGAGCGTTTGGTAATCAGCAGGATGCACAAGCCCTTTCAGAAGCCTGTCCAGCTGAAAGGGCAGATGGCTCCTTTGGGGCCAGTAACAGCCCAGGAGGGTTGCTCGTGACCATTTCTTGACCGGCTGCAGATCTGGGAGCAAAGACATGCTTTCTGTCACCCAGTCAAAGTGAGCAGGTCTCGGGTCTGCTGGACCTGATGCTCACAGGGAGGTCAGGGGGCCTGGGCCAGGCTACCTCTGGAATCCCCCAGCCTGGTCAAGCCGGGGGACTTGGCCACACTCAGCATATGCGGCCATGGGGTGAGTCATGCACCCCAAGGGGCTGGGCCTGCTCCTCTCCACCCCACAGACACCTGGACACAAAAGAGCACAGGTGGGTAGAGACCAGCCGCTGGCACAGCCACCCACTCACCCAGAGTGGGGACACCTTCTTCCGAGCCAAAGCCACTGTCCCTCAGGGCCTTCACAATCCAGTGCAAGGCTGTGGCTGTCTGGGCCACCTGGAACACATGTGCAAAACAAGATTGGGCAATAGGTGCCCGCACATGGGATGCCCAGCTCCCCAACCCCCTCTTCCCCAGGCAGCCACACGACACCCAGGTCTTGGCCAGGAGGGCCATCGGAACCGTCCCCAGAAGCAGAGGGTCCCAGCCCGGAGCCCACCTGCTCCTCCAGGGAGGCCAGTCTCTGCTCCACGGCTCCCGACTGCTTCAGAGGTGCCGTTTCCAGCAGGTCCACTATGGTATCCACCCTGCAAGAGGACACAGCTGAGTCCTGCGGCTGACCCGGGGTCTGGGCATGGAGAGAGCCTGGTGCACTTTGCATGTGGGCAGCCTGCACATCCAGCAGCACAGGCTCCTTCGGCTCTAGTCTCAGGCTTCTTCCTCTTAATTTGAAAGGATTTACACTCAACGGTTCCATAGAGAATGAGCACCCCTAGTGGCCCAGGGGGAAGACCTCGCAGCCAGCGATGCCCCAGGCTCACAGGGCCACCCGACAGCCGCAGGGGCGTGGCCGGGCCAGAGGTGCCGGTGTGCAAAGCACACACACCTGCTTCCTCACCTCCAGATGCCTACAGGCTGTCGGTCACAAACCCAGGAGGGACAGAGCGGCCGCTGGCCAGAGGAGGGGACGCTGCCTCCGGGCACCAGTGGGGACTCTGGAAGGAGGAGGGGACGCTGATATTTGGGAAATGTTTGCTGGCTTTGGTCTTAGTTTGCTGCTGCTGCTGCTAAGTCACTTCAGTCGTGTCCGACTCTGTGCAACCCCATAGACAGCAGCCCACCAGGCTCTGCCATCCCTGGGATTCTCCAGGCAAGAACACTGGAGTGGGCTGCCATTTCCTTCTCCAATGCATGGAAGTGAAAAGTGAAAGTGAAGTCACTCAGTCGTATCCGACTCTTAGCGACCCCATGGACTGCAGTCTACCAGGCTCCTCCATCCATAGGATTTTCCAGGCAAGAGTACTGGAGTGGGTTGCCATTGCCTTCTCCAAGTTTGCTACAATGTAGGAATTGCACCGGTGGGCCGATGTGTTCATAAGAAGAACACTTCCACAGCCAAGCGTCCATCTAAACACCCTGGTCTTTTCCCCTGCAGTTTCTGAGCCACCTTCTCCCAGAGGCTCCTGCTCCACAACAAAGTGACAGACATTTCAGGGACCACAGGGCTGCAGCGTCAGCCCTGCTGAGATCCCCAGCCCCGTACTTGTCACTGATGTCCTGAATCTTCTGCTCTGGACTCTGCTTCCGCTGGAACTGCTGTTCCTGCAGGTAGTTCTCCTTCAGGTAGATCTCCCAGGACAGGAGGGCCGCCTCCTCGTTCTTCTCCAGCTTGTTCTCTGTCCGGGAAGGGGAGCCTCTGACCCACTGGGGGCCCCACAGGGAAGGGCAGAGGAACCCGTCCACGCCCAACCCCAGTGGGCTGGCGGGAATCCAGGGGCCTGAGCGGACGGCATCTCCCTTCCCCCAGCCCAAGCTTCCGGGATGCTCAGAGGAGCTGCCCCCGGATCCCAGCTGCGCCCCAGACATGGCTCTGGGGACCAGGGAGGGACAGCTTACTGAACTGCTTATGCCGCTTGGCGGGGATCTTCAGCATGACCCTCTTGATGAAGAGGTGCAGGTGGCTGAGGAGGATGAAGGGGGGTGGGGCGGGGGGCCTTCCCTGGTACTCCTCGATCAGGTCGTGGCGCTGGAACTTCCAGATCTGGTCCGTGTGCTCCTGCACCTGCTGGAAGGTGTAGCTACAGGGGGCGGGGAGCACGGGTTACCGGGAGCATGGGCCACGCAAGCTGGGTTACACACAACTGTGTCACTGCCTGAGTGTGTGCCGTGACAGCCCATAAAGGCATGCCAGGGAGGGCAACCCAGACACAGGAAAGGCAGCTGAGCACCCTGGGGGCCCAGAGGAGAAGGAAGAAAGAAGACCTAGATTTTAGAGCCTACAAACCTCGCTAGAGGACAAAACAGAGCTGCGCGTGTTGGGAGATGGATGGTATCCTGCACTGAACCCTAAAAGGATCTGATTCCCCTGAATCTGACAAGCAGAAGGCACAGTGTCTTCAACAGGCCGACATGCTCATTCTCCACATCCTGTGTCTCGTGCGGGTAGATGTCAGCTGGCCCAAATCTCTGACAGATGTCCTCGGAGGAGGGGAGGAAGGCTGGGCAGGGCTGAGACGCAGCCACTGCCCGCTGGGTCTCTGGCCTCTGTCTATCACAGCCCAGCACTGGGGCAGGGTCTCTCACTGTTCAGAGCACATGGTAAATCAGCAAGTGGTGACCTCATCACCCTAGCTGATGAAGAGAAGAGAAACAGTGCCCAAACTGATCATGGGTCCCAAGGGCCCTTCTGCAGGGGCCAGGAGGGGCCTGAGGGGGTGGCAATGCCCTGAGCCACAGGGTCAGCCTCCTGAGCACCACGGTCAGGGCCGGCCCTGTATGCCTGCTTTACACAGAGAGCAAAGACAGGTCATCTTGCATCACAGGATTCTTAACAAGTGTGACACACACGCCTCCACCACCAGAGATGACCTCAGCCAAGGTGCTGTCCCTCATGCACCTCCCTCTGCCGGGGCGGGAGGAGTGAGACTTACCCCAGCCCATGGTCTCCAAGCACAGGGCCCGTGGGCTGCCCCCCAGCAATAGTGCCCGCGTTGGACGCCATGGTCACCAGGTCAGCCTGGGTTGAGCCGGGTCCTGGGTCCCAGGCTCTGCACCATCCATACCGCCCTGGGCCGGGGTGGGGGGGTCGGGCAGGCAGGGGGGTGTGCACCCTGCACGTGGCACTCACTTGAACATGGCGATGAGCAGGTTGAGCAGCAGGATATTGGTGAAGAGCAGGTAGAGGCAGAGCAGGAGGACAGTCAGCCACTCGGGGAACATGGGCTCCTGCCGCGCCTGGTCGATCTCGGGGCACTTGGGCTTGTAGGGGTCCGTGCCATCGGGGCTGCACTGGTCTGGACTGAAGTTCACGCCTGGGTCGGGATGAGGGGGCAAGTGAGTCCAGAAAGCCAAGTGGAGTCACAGGGGCCCTCAGGCAATGACCTTACCGGCCTGGACCCCCACATATCTGGGTGACCTCAGCTGTCAGCTCAAGCCCAAGGGAAGCCCTGAGAGGGCCGACTGTCTACACCAAGCATCCTCATGGGCAGGAAGTTCAGCTGCCAGGAAAGCCCAAGAGCCAGACCTGCACTCCAGGCTGGCACATGCCTCCCTGGGATCCAGGCACCCCACCAAGGCACTTCCTGGGGGTGTGTCATCAACAGGAAGGACTATGTCATCTAAGTCACAGGTCCTAACCCTGGGATCCAGGCACCCCACCAGGGCACTTCCTGGGTGTGTGTCATCCAAAGGAGGGACTATGNTGGCACATGCCTCCCTGGGATCCAGGCACCCCACCAAGGCACTTCCTGGGGGTGTGTCATCAACAGGAAGGACTATGTCATCTAAGTCACAGGTCCTAACCCTGGGATCCAGGCACCCCACCAGGGCACTTCCTGGGTGTGTGTCATCCAAAGGAGGGACTATGTCATCTAAGTCACAGGTCCTAACCCTGGGAGCAGAATGTGGCAGGAAAGACATCAAAGAGAAAATGAACAGTTGTTGTAAAGCAAAGGGAGACATCAGAAAGGAAAAATGCTGCAGAGGCAACATTTCTATATGGAGCAAGTGATTACAAACCAAAACACAGCTCCACATTTGCAGAAAAGTAAAGGATATACAGTATTACAAAACATAACTATATACTCCGTGCATTTAAAAATCTGTGATAAGGGCTTCCCTGGTGGTCCAGTGGTTAGGAATCTGCCTCGCAATGCAGGGGACATAGGTTCAATCCCTGGTCCAGAAAGATTCCACATGCCTCAGGGCAACTAAGCCTGTGCACTAAAACGACTGAAGCCCCCACACCCAAGAGCCCGTGCTCCACAACTAAGGAAGCCAACACAATGAGAAGCCCACACACTGTATCTGGAGAGTAGCCTCCACTCATTCTGTCTAGGGAAAGCCTCATGCAGCAGTGAAGACCCAGCACAGCACTGAAGACCCAGCGTAGCCAAAATTAAATACTTTAAAAAAAGAAGAAAAAGACATCCAGATTGGAAAGGAACAAGTATTTGCAGATGACATGATCGTAGCAAGTCCCCCAAAAGGCACCTAAAAACTATTAGAACTAATAAAGAAGTTCATCAAGGTTTCAGAATACAAGTTCAATGTACAACATATAGTGTTTTTCTACACAGTAAACAATCCAATTAATAAAACAATTCTACTTACAACAGCATGAAAAAGAATAAAAACATTTAGGAATAAATTTAACAAAAGAAGTACAAACTATATACTGAAAAGTAAAATATACTCTGGAAAGAAATTAAAGATCTAAATATGTGGAAGAAATCCCATGTTTATAATCAAAATCCTCCTGGATGTCTTTTTTGGAGAAATTGACTAGATCAACCGAAAATTCATGTGGACCCAAGGGACCCAGAGGCCAAAACAATCATGAAAAACAGAACAAAGCTGAAGGACTCACACTTCCTTTAAAGCTACACTGGCCAGGACCATGGTGCTGGCACCAGGATAGACACATAGATAATAGGAATAGAAGAGATAAACCCTTTTGTTAACAGTCAACTGATTTCTGGGTCGGGAAGATCCCCTGGAGGAATTAAATATGGATACAGGTGACAATACAGATGATTCAAAAACATTACACTGAGTGAAAGAGGCAAGACACAAAAGACACACACACTTGAAGTGTCTGGAAAAGGCACATTCTACTCTGATGCTGGGAAAGAGTGAGGACAGGAGAAGGGTGACAGAAGATGAGATGGTGGGATGGCATCATCGACTCGACGGACATGAATCTGAACAAGCTCTGGGAGACAGTGAAGGACAGAGAAGCCTGGTGTGCTGCAGTTCATGGGGTCGCAAAGAGTCCGACACGACTTTGCTACTGAACAACACCATCATCAATAGAGACAGTAGACGACAGGTCACCTGCAGTTGGGGGTGGGGGGTGACTACTAAAGGGTATGGGGTGACTTGTGGGAGTGATGCAAGCATTCTAAAATTAGATTCTGTAAATATACTAAAAACCATGGAAGTGGACACTTTTTACAGGTGAGTTTCATGGTATGTGAATTCATCTCAATGAAGCCATGACAGAGAACAAACTATGTTCTCTCCACTCAAAAAAGGAAGACTTACATCTGACTGCAGTAGGAGGAACAGAAGGAATCAGGTGGCATTTAATGGGGGATGAGGGGATGTCAGCTGATACCCCAGGCCACATCCCCGACCCACTTTGATCTCCCCGCAGCTGCGAGGTATAGCCCAACTGCGGCCAGCTGATGCCTGCCCCACTCAACTGATGGGACCCCAAGTGCACCCATCTCTTTCTTCAGGAGCCAGGGACCCTAGGCAGTGTTGAGCTAGTGGGATGTGCCCAGTCCTCCCTCCTCCCACTTCTGTGACCCTGGAGGAACCCCACAAGGTGGCACCTCCTTTTCCACAGCTGTCAGGGCCCCTCCTACCATCAATGTAGGTTGGGAGCTGCCCGAAGATGGTGAGATACGAGTGGTAGACGGCCCCCCGGAAGATCCACTCCACCCGCCTCTCGTTGTGGATGAGGATGGCCTGCTTGGCCACCCCGAAGGACACGACCCACACGGCCAGCAGGAAGAGGAAGAAGAAGACGTCCTTCATCTGTGGGAGGGGGGCACCAGTTGCAGCCACACCACCCCACACTGTCCCTGCCCACAGGGTGGTCCCCAAGTGCCCTGTGGTGGACGAGACTCCATCAACTCTCACAGCATGGCTGCATGGAGCCAGGAGCTCCAGGGGACAGCCTAGAGGGCCGCTGGGCACCCCATGAGGAGTAGGAAGGATCGTGACCATGACCCAAGAAGGGGAGTGACAGGAGCTATTACAGGGATCAGGGATGAGCTGTGGATATCAGGGAAGGCTGCCTGGAAGAGGCAACATACAGGCAAGACCTGAGACAGGCATGCTAGGGTGTGGAAGCAGAGTGGTGACTTGGGGTCCTGTGGGGTGTGCTGTGCCCCGGGGTGGCTCAGGCCCCCCTTACCATCGTTCCAGGGTGCTACAAAGTCCCGCTTATCATCCATCCAGGGGTGCCTTGGGCCCCCACTTACCATCCGCTTCACGATGATAATCTTGGGCCCCAGCGTCTTGCTGATGGTGAAAATGTGCATGAGCCGCAGGCAGAACATGGTGAAGTCCAGGGAGAGGATGATGCGCCCGGTGTATAGCAGCGAGGGCATGAGTCTGCAAAGGAGCAGGGGCCTCAGTTGGCCGCCCTGGGCCTGGCCCTAGCCCCCTGCCCAGCTGCCCCGGCCCCAGGTACAACAGTGAGGGCACAAGCCTGATGGGGAGCAGGGCCTCAGCTGACTGCTCCAGGGCTGGCCCCAGCCCCAGTGTGACCCCAGACCCCAAAGCACTAAAACTAGGTGTAAGTTCAGAAGCAGAGCGTCCAGGAGGGTCCGGAAGGCCAGCCTCAATGCAGAGAAGCTGGGCCTCGTGGGCATCCTGGGAAGCAGCAGGCTGGCCCAGCCCCTCCTGCTCATGAAGGGGTCACGCAGGGCAGACATGTGCCCTTGATGGACTGTGGAGAGGTCAGGGCCCCTGGCTGGGACGCGGGCACTCCCACCAGACAGCTCCCCATGGTGACAGAGCCCACGTCTCTGCTCCGGCTCCTCCCTGTCCCCGCGTGGGCAGGGCACCCTTGGCACAGACATGTCCAGAGAGGTGCTGAAACCTCGAGGGGGCCTCAGCTCCCAGCCTCACCCCAGCCCAGCCCTGTGCGGGCTGCTCCCTTGATGGGACAGGAGGGCCACCTGGAAAGGAGGTTACTCACCGGCAGGTCAGCCCCGCAATGAAGAGCAGGATAGCGCACACGTCCAGCTTGTTCCAGAAGTCACTGAAGTACACGATTACTGCCTTCCGCAGCCCGCTCCCGTCGGGGTCGTAGAAGAGCTGGAGAGGGGAGCAGGGACATGCGGGGCTGTGGGTCATCCTTCTCAGTTCCCCACCAGCAAACTGGCCTCACTTCCTGGGCAGCTGAGAATCGGGGAGGGGCTGCTAGCAGGAGAGGTGGCCCTGACTGAGCCCAGCTCCCCTCCCAAGAGGGGACCCCCACACTCTGCAGCATCCTTCACAGGGGAGCCAGGGACTCACGAAGCCCAGGACACCACCCAGTGATGTCACCCTTGGGGTGATAAGAGAGAGTTTCAAGCAAAAACCAATGCCTTGAGGGGGTCGGGTGGAGGAGGAGCAAGGGCGGGAAGCGGCTGGCGGACCACAGGCCACACTTTCCGAGGGGCCTCGCCCGGCTCTCGATGCCCACATGGGGCTCACTGTGGACGGCACGGGGCCAAGGGCTCCATGAGAAAGTGACCGAGCCCAGGGTGCTCCTGGGGGTAGGAGGGTCCGCGGGTGGAGTGGGAGCGGGCTCACCCACCTGCCGCAGCTCCTCACACACCAGGGAGAAGAGCCAGACGTAGATGAGGTACTCGCAGCCAGAGGGCTGGGGCTGGAAGTCCACCATGAGCACGTAGGCAAACAGGCAGAGGAAGGCGAAGTAGGACAGGATGTTCATGTGGAAGACGACCACGGGCGCGCTGAAGAAGGCGCGGACGCGGGCCAGGCCCCGCCCCGCCCGCAGCTGCTGGTTCCTGCGGAAGACGTGGGCAGGGGAGACCACGGCCGACAGGGGCCAGCTCAGCCACAGGTCGCACCATAGAAGGGAGGCCCAGGACTCGCGGCTGGCCACCCACCCTGCACGCATGGTTTGGTGGGGGCTCGGCCAGACAGCCCTGCAAAGAGGTCCCCGAAGGGCTCTCAGGTTCCTTTAGGGCTATCACAAAATCCTCAGGCCATGGTGGGACTTGCCCCCCGGTAGATACTGGGCGATGGCAGTTCTCACCCCTCCCCAGCATGAATCCCCTCCATCCTGGGACCGGTGGCAGCAGTGAAGACCCCCAGAGCGGGTATTTGGGAAGGGAGGTCCGGCCCCAAGCCCCAACGGCCCCGCAGCTGGGCTGGCACCTGAAGGAGATGAGGCCAGTGTACAGCAGCGGGAAGACCAACATGCACAGCACCACGCGCCAGAGGCCATTGTCCACACCTAGCTGGCCCCACCACACCTTGGTCAGGAAGGCCTGCGGACAGAGGGCGGGTTTCAGGGCGATGGGCCCCCCCACCCGCCCTGACCCTGTGCTCCTTGAGACTCCCGAGGAGGAGCGACTCTGCAGGCTCAAGCACAGCACCCTGCCAGGTCCACAGGTGACGTGATGGGGAGTGCAGTGGGCAGCTCCAGTCCGGCCCTGAGTCTGCCAGCCCAGGAAGAGGCTCTGGGGGCAGGACCAGGCTCTCCTGGACCAGGCTCTCCCAGGCCAGAAAGTGGGGCTCAAACCCGGAGCCGGGCTCTATCACCCTGCCCCACTCTCACCAGCTGGCCCCCTGAGCTCTCTCCGGGGGTGGGCAGTGTGGGCAGAACACCTCCCCACCAAGCCCCTGGGATCCAGCATGGCCAACTCAGGATGGTACCGTGGATGTAGTGACAGAAGAGGCTGTGCTCCAAGGAAGTGCCAGGGCTCTGAGGGTCCCTCCAGTGCACTACACATGTCATGTCACTAAGGCAACACCAGAGCGTCCTATGAGCTTCCATGTATCCCTCCTGAGACCCCAGGTAGCAGGGGTCGGGGGAGCTGAGGCCTGGCCCTGAAGGCCTGCTGAGGGCTCCCATCCTGTGCAGAGGTGAGCTACCCCCTTCACAACTAACCACCCACTCTCACTCAGCATCGGCTCTCTCCTCGGCAAACAGGGAGGAGAGGGTGTGCCTGTCTGCAGCAGGTGACCGATGGCCAGCGCCATCCCTGGGTCCCCACAGGACCTGACATGGTGCACAGGAGGCTGCGTCCGCTCCTGCAGCCCAAGGCAGGTCTTTCTGGAAGGAGGCCCCCAGAACGTCACCTGGATGCCCCCGTGAGACATGAACTTCATGTCCTTGGCCTCCAGGGCCAGCTGCAGGCAGGTGGTCCTGCCCCAGGCCTCCGACACGCGGACCAGCAGCTTCTGAGCCCTCTCCTCATCCTTCCGGTAGCACTCGGTGAAGACCCCTGGATGGGAGAAGATCTCGTCACAGCAGCCGGACCCTCACCAGGGGGAGCTGCAGACAGTGGTGGAGCGCGGCCCCTCCAGACAGCACAGCGGGCGCATGGATGGGGCGAGGACCCCAGGGTCACCCATGAGGAGCCGGGCCCGGGTCTGAGGCTGCAGCCCCAGAAGCTCACCAATGGCTCTCTGTTCATACTCGTCTGCGAGCACCAGCATCTCCTCCAAGCTGTCCGTGTCTTCCTCCTCTTTGGACAACTCCTTCAGGATCTTGCTGCAGGCCAAGGCTGCCGCGATGCAGTCCTGGCTCTGGGTACCCCGGGGGAGCCACTGTGAGGCTCTGGATGGTCCTGCCCCGGGACCCCCAACATGCCGCCACCCAGGCTGATGAGAGCAAAGGCCCCGAGACAGCACAGGCTGCAGGGTGTGGACTCAGTGTGTGCTCCTTCCACATAAACCTCTGGGCTCACCCCAGGTCACATGCAAGCCCTGCTGGCAGTCAGTCTCCTGCAGGCCAGGCAGTCCCCTTGCTCCCCAAGAACACAGACTGGACACAAGCACTCAAATAGCCCTGCTGATACAAGGCCCAGAGATCTCCAGGCATCTGGTCAACCCCATGCAAGGAGCACACCCTCCCCCCTCCTCCCAAAGAGGAGAAGCTGGGACCTGGCCATCACATGGCCCTGTCCAAGGCCAGGGGCCTCACCCTCGGTGGCACCCCCAGTCCCAGGCACCAGAGGGGGGCCAAGAGAATCTCACAGGAGGCTCTCAATACTAGCCCAGAGGCCCTGGGTCTGAGGGCAGCACTGGCCCGGGTGAGGGGTTGGTGTCAGAGCCTGGAAACCTGAGTTTGGTTTTTCTGGCCAATAAGCCCCACCGGGAATACTCGAGGCCACAGTCGGGCCGGCTCTGTCGCCCACCCCGTCCCCCAAGCACCTTGGGAGAGGGCACACCTCCCAGAACCTGGGTGAGGGGGCAGGTTGCCAGAGCCTCTGCCAGGACTCTGAGGGAGCCGGCTCTGAGAGCAGCCTGGAAATGTTGGCTCAGAAAAGCAAGGCCTCTCTGAGAAAAACTATGAAACTTTACTTCTCTGTTAAGAGGAGAGCCAGCTTGAAATACAGGAAAACCATGCAGGGAGCCCTGGTCTGCGGTGCTCCGTTTCTTAGGGAGCTGCCTAGCCAGTCCCCACCATGGGTGATAAAGCCCCATGCAGGCCCAGTGACCAGTAGTCACCCAGCCAGTCCCCTTCGTTGGCGATGAAGTCCCATGCAGGCCCGGTGACCAGGAGCTGCCTGGCCAGTCTCCTTCATTGGCAGTGAAGCCACTCTCAGGCCCAGTGACCAGGAGCTGCCCGGCTGACTGGTGGGAGTTCCCAGACAGCCCAGCCACAGCCTGGGGCGACGGCATCTGGGAAGCACCCATCTTAGTAACAGATCATGCCTGAGTCCCCCAACCATCAATGGGAAGAGAAGCGGCCCCTCCAGGGATGGAACTAGCCTACAGAGTCCCCTGACCCGGGCAGCCATGGGGCTGGAGCTCTGTCACTGGTCCACTGATAGTTTCAGTCTGCTGACCTGAGCCCAGATGATTTCTGCCAGCTCCCGGCGGTTCTGCACGATGGCCCAAATGAGAAGATCACGGACCGGATCTATGGTGAAGGTAGCTTGGCCTGATGAACGCTTGTACAAGGGCCGGAGACTCACTCCCTGCACCTGTGAGCAGCGGACAGTCAGCAACCCCACCTGGGGTGGGGACACCTGTTGAGGGTGCAGGATCTGAGCTCGGCCCCACTATCCTTGGAGGTCGAGCCCTGAAAGCCACTTTTCCAACAACACTCAGATGGTTCTCATGCACACTCACGCACACTGGGGTTTCTTAAGCACCACTCTGGAGACATGAAGAAACACCCAGGAAGTGCAACACTCAGTTACCACCCACATCATTTGTAGACCCCTGCTACTCGCCAGGGATCCCAACGTTCCTTGGTCTTATGTGATGGCATCAAAGTCTTTCTCTACAAAGTAAAATTCTAAGACAGTCTGTTAGTAGATTCATGCTGTGACCTCCTCAAGGGAATCTGCAGTGTCTCCTGCAGAGAAGACCAGCAAGAAAGACCAGACAGACAGAGCCACCGTGTGAGTGGGAGGGCTCTGGCCCCAGACACACAGTCTACAGTGACACAGTCTATAGTGATTCCAGGCTTCCTGGCCCCTCTGTAAATAAGCACATCCTCAGATGGTCTGGAAGCAATTCCCAGGGAACACATTTCCCACATCACACACAACACTACACTTTAAGTGATTTCAGAAATTGTCTGAAGGCTCATCTTTATGAAAAAAAGAAAGAAAAAGTTAATTGATCTTCTTAAATTACAGACATGGTTCAATATGAGCTTCCACTTGGTACTTTCATAAGCATTTTCCAACTAGGCATCTTAAATATACTGGAATCAAGAAAACTAGCACCATGAATGTACAAAACTGTCAGGAAGCATCTAACAAAAGGCTTCCTGTGTGCTGTTTTGGATCTGTCAGGAACCCTCTGGCCCTTACTGATTCCTGAATATTCAGGAATTAAGAGGAGAGGCATGCCTTTCCAGGGGCTGAGGAATCCAGGCATTTCTCATTACCGTGAAAAGTACCCTCTTCCTTCTTATGAAAAGGTGATTGTTTGCAACTCTCTCTTTGATAGGGATCGTTTTATGTTTTGTAAGTCTGGAATTTTAATCTTTATCTTTGCTGAGAATAACCACCTTGTAAGACAGTATATATGCCCGTGCCATGTTGATTAAAACACCTTTGCTCCATCAGAGCTTGGGTCCCCGTGTCTTTCTTTCTTTCTTTCTCTCTCTCATTATCTCTCTATTTCTGGCTAATTCCTTGGAGGGCGGAGGCCCGCTGAGGCCCGCTGAGGCCCGCTGAGCTCACTTTCTTGCCCAGGCTTCTAAGATCCTCTCGAGAAGGCGCACTGGGCCTTCACCCACTCGAGAGGGCGCCTGGTGGCTACGTGCAGCAGCGCGAGCCCCAAGAATAGGACTCTATTGGCTTTCTGCATAAACCAGGGGATATCAGCCTCTTTCTCTCTCTTACTTTCTTATCGTCGACTCCGGACCCCCAGATTCCGGCCCATTAAAGGACCAGCACAAAATCAAGCCACAGCCGCTTCAGTCTCAGGGGTTGGGCACAGCTCACCTAGGACAATGGATGGATTTGCAAGCCTGAAGGAAGTACATAATTTTCTAGCAGGAAAAAAGCAAAATCACAGTGATCTTAGAAGAGACAGAAAACCTAAACATCAGGACCATCAGGAAAGAAAAATAGAAAGTTATCAGAGTTACTACGCAAAAAGGCACTGGGCCCTGCTGGACTCCCAGGGGAGTCTGCCAAGTGTGTAAGAGGCAGTGAACTCCAGCCACATAAACTGTCCCAGGGCAGAGAAAGAAGAAACTCTTCCCAATGTTTTCACAAAGCTAACATAAAATTGATACCAGAACCTGACATATACAACTCTCCCCAAATAAAACTACAATTAAAGACAACATTCTGATGCGCTAAGTCCTTTCAGTCTTGTCTGACTCTGCGACCCCATGAACTGTAGCCTGCCAGTCTCCTCTGTCCATGGGATTTCCCAGGCAAAAATACTAGAGTGGGTTGCCTGCTCTCCTCCAGGGGATCTTCCAGATGCAGGGGTTGAACCAACGCCTCTTACATCTCCTGCTTTGGCAGGTGGGTTCTTTACCACTAGCACCACTGTAAACCCCTAAAAATGTTGGGAATCCAGCATCAGATTAAATATATCTACAATCAAGTTGAGATTCAAAATAGGGATAAAAAATAATAATGACTTATAATTCACCAAATTCATATGTCAAAGAAGAAGAGCATTTCAACTTCTCAGAAGGCATCTGACAAAGTTCAGCCCTGAGGTGTCATTCATAAAACCTTATTGAATCTTGAGAGGGGTTTCGGTCACATAAATATACCACAGATGCCAGCATTACACTTAATGCTTAGAAACTGCAGGGTACCCATCAAATAAAGATTCAGACTAGAAAACTCCTCCTCCCATTATTGCCACACATGTGTGCCTCACGCAGACACAGATGAGCTATGCTGACCTGGCCACACAAACACCAATGGTGTAAGCAGGGCTCAGGGGAAGGGGTACATGGGATAGCATTTTCCCACATAATTTTTTGTACTGTTGAAAGTTCTTAGAAAGGGAGCTCCTGGACTGACTTGTGTCCACCACTTTCACATGCTGAAGCCCCAACCCTAGTGTGACTATTTGGAGATGAGACTTTACACATGGGCTGGATGAAACACAAGCTGGAATCAAGACTGCCAGGAGAAATATCAACCACCTCAGATATGCAGATGACACCACCCTTAAGGCAGAAAGAGGAAGAACTAAAGAGCCTCTTGAAGAAGCTGAAAGAGGAGAGTAAAAAAGCTGGCTTAAAACCCAACATTCAAAAAACTAGGATCATGGCATCTGGTCCCATCACTTCATGGCAAATAGACAGTTTAATAATGGAAACAGTGACAAAGTTTATTTTCTTGGGCTCCAAAATCACTGCAGACAGTGACTGCAGCCATGAAATTAAAAGATGCTTGCTTCTTGGAAGAAAAGCTATGACAAACCTAGACAGCTTACTAAAAAGCAGAGACATTGCTTTGCTGACAAAGGTACATACAGTCAAAGCTATGGTTTTTTCGAGTAGTATGGATGTGAGAGTTGGACCATAAAGAAGATTGAGTGCCAAAAAATTGACGCTTTTGAACTGTGGCGTTGAAGACTCTTGAGAGTTCATTGGACTGCAAGGAGATCAAACCAGTCAATCCTAAAGGAAATCAGTCCTGAATATTCACTGGAAGGACTGATGCTGAAGCTGAAACTCCAATACTTTGGCCACCTGATATGAAGAGCCAACTCATTGTAAAGACCCTACTGCTGGGAAAGACTGAGGGCAGTAGGAGAAGGGGACGACAGAGGACAAGATTGTTGGATGGTATCATCGACTCAATGGACAGGAGTTTGAGCAAGCTCCAAGAGATGGTGAAGAACAGGGAGGCCTGGTGTGCTGCAGTCCATGAGGTCACAAAGAATCAGACACAACTAAGCGACTGAACAACTTTATGTACGTGATTAAGGTTAAGGGAGGCCATAGAAGTGGGGCCCTGATCCAACAGGACCCTAGCCCTAGGGTGCCTAGAAGAAAAGGAAGCCATACTGGACGCTCTGAGGATGGAGCCAGAAAGTGCTCGCTCCTCTGCAGGCCAGGAGGAGAGGCCTCACCAGAAGCTCACCTGTCAGCACCAAGACCTTGACTTCCAGCCTCCAGAGAAGGGAGAAGAAGATGCCCGCCATGTAACCTGCCCCATCTGTGTTATGACAGCGAGATCCGACTTTCCCAATAACAGTAAAAGCACGTGTTTCAGAGCTCCAAAGCTGGCCAGCACTCACATTGATTTTGATGCTGGGTACCGGGAGGAGGCGCTGCCGGTCGCTGGAGTGGGGCCGGGAGTACAGTGGCTGTGTGGAGTCCCCGAGGAGCTCCCGGAGCACCTGGGCCACGTGGTGCAGAAGCACGCTGGGGTCCAGGTGCTCGGTCTCCCCAGGAAGCACCTTGTGCAGCTTGTAATGGAACAGGCAGGTGGGCTCCAGGTTCTGGTACAGGTAGAACAGGGTGGCCTGGGAGACGAACTCCTTCAGCTGCACCCCGTTCTCCAGGAAGAGCCTCACGAACTCGGGCTTGTTGGTGATGAGGGCGGCCACCATCATGGGGTACAGCTCTGAGGGCTGAGAGGGGGACATGGGGGCCATATACTTGGCCATCAGCCTTCGGGCCCCGATCTTGGTACCTCCAAGACAGGGATGCCACTGTCTCCCATTTCGGGAAGAGGAGGCATGCCGGTTGCCCTCACCAAGGACAGGGCCAGAGTCTGGACAAGCCCCAGCAAGCCCCTCCCTAGGGCAGCCCCCCGGCAGTCTCACCTTCCACTGCCGCTCGTCGGTGAAGATCTCACTCTGGGCAATGTCCACGCGGTTCCACGCCACCGCCAACTTCAGCTGGTGGTCCCAGTTCTCATGGCCATAGTGGTCAAGGCTCCGAGAAGCTGTAGGTGGAAGCACATGCATTGGGGACTTCAATCTGGGTCTCAGAGCCACTTCAAAGCCCAACAAAGTCAGGGTGGGGTCAGCAAGCTGTCTCCATCATTTCAATTGAATAAATAAGGTGCTCAGTCACGAACCACACCACCCCCCCCCACCCCACCACACATATTCCTTCATACAATCACCTTTCCTTTCAGGGTACCATCAGACCATCTTTGGGTTTCCGTCTCCACTCTTGCTTACCCCAGCTCCCAGCCTGGCCCCAGGTCCTGCTCAAGCACCCCGCCCTAAGTTTAAAGGAGACACGGTTCTCTGGAAGGCAGGCACTTTAACATTCACTTTCAAAACTTAGACCACGAAAGTCATCACATGTCCTTCTTTGCCTTGTTTGCAGAACTAGTGCAACTATTTGCCCAACTAGTTTCTGCTCTTTCTGGACTAACATTTTAAAACATGGGTTGTTATTTAGGGAAGAAAAAAGAACTCTGACCCTTACCTCACAACACACACAACAAGTAACCTGAGATGAATCACAAACCTACACTCAAAGGCTGTGGCTATGGAAGAAAGTATTTGCAACTGCAGGAAAGGAAAAGATTTCTTGGGGTGTGAAGAACATGAATAATGAAGGAAAAAAGTTGGTAAACTAAAACGTTACCAGTTGGTAAACTAAAAGCTTTCTTTAGGACTTCCCTGGTGGTCCAGCGGTTAAGACTTCAAACTTCCACTGCAGGGGGTTGTGGGTTTGATCCCAGTTGGGGAACTAAGATCCCACAGGCCATCTGGTGTGGCAAATAAATGAATAGATACATGTAGATCCCTTCTGCTCCCTAAAGATACCTTGGAGGACATATAAAAGCAGACCATGAACCAAGAGAAAACATCCCAGCATATAGGTCCAACACAGGATTTGCACAAGGATATACCAAGAACTCTTAAACCTCCACAAAAGAGACAAATAACCAATTAAACATGGATAAAAGATCTGACAGACACTTCATCAAGATGAAATGCAAATGGCCAACAAGCCCAGAGACACAAATTCAAACCATACAGTGATCTGGCTTCACACCCACCAGGAGGGCTACAGCTTCAAGGGCTGACAGGACCAAGTGTGGGTGAGGGCGCAGAGCAGCCTGGACCCACACGCATGGTGTAGGGACAAGTACCCAGAAACGGTGAGCAAGCTGACCCCTTACCATGAACACTTCCCACTCTGCAATTGGTGCTGGCCTGGGGCCTGCTTCCTCCGGGGTGAGGGGCCATTCAGCCCAGAGCAAATGCTCCTGGGCACTAGGGATGTCATGAGGTCCATGCCAGCAGGAAGGACAGGGAAGCATGGGTCTCGCCCCAGAAGTGGGAGAGGAAGAGTGAAGTGTGGGTCCCGGGAGAGCAAGCCGAAGGGCAGCAGTCAGACTAAGGAGTGGAAGTCGGCCAAGAGCTCTACTGGTCTCGCGGATGCCTAAGTTTCGAGTCTCCCCTGTACTTGGACTCTGTCCCTGGAGGCACAGGAGTTAGACAGGAGACAGGAGCAGACCTCCGAGGCTCTTTCTTCCTACCCCAGAATTTTATGAGGAACTGTAATGACCATGAAGGGGTAAGTCAGTACAGGCTGCACTCAGATTTAAGGTAAGAAGGTGAGTTGAGAAAGGCACTTATACCCCAACATCAGTGACTGGTACCACCTGCCCTGGGGGAGTGTGAGGTGGGCCTGGCAAAGTCCAGCTGCTCTCTGACCAGCACATCTGCCCATGGATGGTTTTCTGGCTCCTCTGGACTAGGACTCTGGCTCCTCCCCCACATCATCACCTCGCCTGACCCTCACCTTTCAGCAAGGCCTGCAGGATGGCCACGTCCACGTCCTGCTGGCCATCCTTCCCTTCCCGGAACACAGTGAGCAGCTGCCGTCTCCGGACGATGTCTTGAATCTGCAACAGGCATTTCCCGCATGAGGTTCCCCCACCTCTTCAAAGGGCACCTGCAGAACCAAGGCCCTGGACGCAGAACCAGAGCCCCGGGCAGGAGTCCCGCCTGCCATGCGGCCAGGGCCACCACCTCGCCCCCATGCCCAGATGGTGATGAAGATGAAGATGCGTGAGGACCAAACATGGTGTTTTCAAGTGGCCTTTGGGATAGTATCTCCACCTCACTGATCAGTGGTATCTGTTCAACACCCAGCGACACTTAACTGAAGATCTCTGCCTGGTCCTCTGCCTGGGCCCTGCCTACCTACCTATCAATCACCAATTATCTATCCTCTATTTCCTGTCACCTTTCTATCTAGCTGTCATTGATCTCATCTACCTATCATCTCTCAGCTGCCAGAACTGCCACAGTTCAAAAGGATCAATCAAAATTGATGCTTTTGAACTGTGATGTTGGAGAAGACTCTTGAGAGTCCCTTGGACTGCAAGGTGATCAAACCAGTCAATCCTAAAGGAAATCAACGCTGAATATTCATTGGAAGGCCTGATCCTGAAGCTGAAGCCCCAATACTTTGGCCACCTGATGGGAAGAGCCGACTCACTGGAAAAGACCCTGTTGCTGGGAAAGATTGAAGGCAGGAAGAGAAGGGGATGACAGAGGATGAGATGGTTGGATGGCATCACCAACTCAATGGACATGAGTTTGAGCAAACTCCAGGAGATGGTGAAAGACAGGGAAGCCTGGAGTGCTGCAGCCCATGGGGTCACAAAGAGTTGGACATGACTGAACGACCGAATGACAAGACCTGCCACCAGTCACTGCTTCCTTGAACCTTCACCCTGAGGTGGGGGTGGGCCTTGGCTGGTTCCTCACACCCCAAAGCTTCAGACTCCACTCCCAGCTCCCAGGCCACCACACCCAGTCCCACCTGCTTTCCTGCCTGCCCCCACTCCCTTCCCCTCAGCCTGGACATGGCTCTTGCCTCTGTACCCTCTATAAAGAGACTTCTCCCACCTAGAGGGCCCCTTGGACACCCTGTCTCCACCTCTAAGACCCCAACCGTCTCCATCCCTCAGGATCCCGCTTTCATGTCAACTCCAAAATGCCCAAAATGTCTCTCTTCCCAAACCCACCCCATCTTTTAGCCAAAACCTCTCCTGGATTTAACCCTACTCCTGATTCACAGGATGGAGTAGCTACTGCAGGTGTGTGTTGACCAGGTACTAAGCAAGTACTTCCCCAGGTAGTACTTCCTGGGAAAGTCCCAGGTAGACTCCTCTGAGTCTAAGCCCCACTCACCCCTGATCTGCAGACAAGAAAGCAGGACTTCTGAGAGAGGACCAGCAGTCCTCCTGACACCAGCAATGTGGTGCTGGCTGTGGGTCAGCAAGAAGACCCCCAATGACAGATATCCACATCCTCCCAGGGCTGCACCCGTCTACCCACAATGGGGCAGACCAGCCCCAAGGCCTGTGGAGTGAATCAGTGATCACAGCTCTGGGGGGCCCCTCCCCACTGAACAAGAGCCACCATCAAGGGCAGCCCCCCGGCTGAAGACTGGCATGTATGAAGCACCATTTTCATGCCTTGACTCAGCCATGGATTGATAACACAAGCTCCTTTAAACCTCAGCAGATTAGACCCACTTCTGAGAAACGCCTGAATAATTTACAAGCTAACTGAGGGAAGGCCAAAGGCCTGCCGGCCAATACCCACCAGCTCTGTGAGGAGCCGACCTGACGCCCACAGTGAAAACATCCCCCAGAACCTTAAGAGGTCTGCTGAGGCCACAAGAAGACAGAAGAGAGGGTGCTATGCTGCCCATGAAACTTGTCCTGCTTGCCCTGGGCTGCCTGCTGCCCTACCCCCACCAGCCACCATCTGCGACCACAACCCTCTTCTTGGTCTTTGGTTGGTGGGCACAGACTGTCCACAAGGCCTGAAATCGGATGTGGTTAGAACCAACCTTCTCCACTTGCCCTGAAAGGCCCATGTCAGGCACTTAAACGTGAATCAGCAGGAGATTTAACAGTCTGGTTTAGCATCTATGGAGCACATGACAGACACAGACCCCAACTGCTTTGTCAGTCCCAGCTTACTGCTGGGGAAACTGAGGGTCAGAGAGGCCCTGACTGCCTCCATCCCACAAAGAATCTTGCCAGGAAACAGGGGTCAGGGGACCTCAGGACAGGTGAGTCCAGCCCCCGGGGCTCAGGGCACAGCCGGACTGCAGGGTCAGTAGGACCACAGGGGCTGGAGGGTGGCAGGGGCGGGGGGCACTCTCTACTAGCCAAGGGCTTTGTGGGTGTCGTGGGCTCACCTAGCTACTCTCCTTCACACCTGCCCCCCTTTGGAGGCTGGGGCCAGGCCATGCATCCCTCTGCAGAGCTCAACAGGACCCCCAAAATCTGCACTGGGGATTTGACCAATTCTGAGGCTCATTTCAAATGCCCCAGATGATCTAACTGACTCAAAGGACGTGAAAGATAAGCTCCTTCTTTCCAGGACTTGGAGAGACATCCCATGTACACTCCTGCACCAGCACCCCTCCTAACCCAGCAAGAAGCCTGTCTGTAAGGTCTCCAAGAGAAGTCTTGCAAGGTCTTCACCCACCTGTACCTGGTGTCATCTCCCACTCTAGCTATGGAAGAGCAAAGTACCAATGTGTTTTACAGCAAAATTACTGAAATGCAGGGCAATTGTGGTCCTGGGCTATAACAGCCATGCTCTCCCCACGGGTCAGGAGAAGGGTCCAAGTCAGACCATTCGGGGTGGTGGCGCCCATGAGGCTCACTGCTAAGGAGCTGAGGGGATAGGCAGAAAGCCATGTCCCAGAGACCCCCGGCCACTCCCTCAACCAGAGCAGCCCATTGTCATCCAGTTCATAAGGTAACATTCCAGAAAAATCTTTGGAATCCAGTGGGCTAGCTAGAAAATGTCACACTAGGAAGAGAGAAAGAAAAGAGCCAATTAACACAACAGGCTAATGGTTCAGGTCCCAGCCATCCGGACAGCCCAAGTCTGGTCAGCAGGGATGAACCAGAGCTGACAGCTCGGTTCTTGCATCCGGGCTGGGTTCATGTAGGGTACTGGCAGTAGGGAGCTGGGTGATGGTAAACAGAAACCCCCTATGACCTGTGCTCTTTCCCAAGAATCTAAAACGGTCCCAAAACAAGGAGAGAGGACAGGCAGGCATGCGAAGCAAGGCTGAGTCCTCTTTGAACGATCTGTCCCTGGACGTGTAGCCGCAGGGTCATGCCCCAGCTCCCTGTGCTTCCACCAGCATCTCCTCCCACAGGGGAGTGACGGTCCCCTCTTTGGGTGGAACTAGCTCCCTCCCAGGACTCGAGTCTCCAAAACCACTGGCGACGGGGCTCCCTCTGGAATGCTGGTCCTAGGACGGGCCAGGCCATGGATGCCTCTATCTGGGGGTGCATGTGGAACAACCCCCAGAACACCACATGGCCCCCAGAGCCACTCGGGGGTCCCCATCTGACACATCTACATGTCTCCCCACCTTGACAACCCCAGAAGGTGGGCCCTGCTACCCACTGCCATCACTTGTAGCACCCCAGCGGCCTGAATCTGGGCTCGCCACCCCTCTGCCACCCCCAGGGCCCCAGCACCAACCTCATGCCCACCCAGGGCACAGGGTCCTCTTTCCAGGGTGGCTGTGGCTTATACCCTATGCTACCTGCCTGCCTGGAGTTCTGCAGGTGGAGGCCCAGCACATCCTCCCTTGCAGGGCAGCCTGCTGCTTCAGGTGACAGCTCCCTGCCTGCCCAGCTCACAGCTCCCACCCCTGCAGATGGCTCCCGTGCCCATCCCAGGTGGGCCAGGGCCTCTGAGTCTCAGTTATGTGTGTCCTGGTCCCGTCGACCAGGCTGGCAGCGTCTAACCTATGGGCTGCAGGTTCACACCTGGTGACTGACGTACCCATCAGCCTCACCTTTTTGGTCCACTCGATGATCGTGAAGGTCTCAAACATCCCCTGGAAGAACATGCTCAGCTTCTGCTGAATCAGGGAGATCGTGATCTCAGAGATGGGCAGGCCGGCTACCTGCGCGATGATGTCAGCCACGCGGCCCGAGCCCTCCACCACCACGCAGGGGGTGCCGTTGTTGATGGCGTTGTAGATGGTCTGCAACACAGGGGCCAGCATGAGCCCACCCACACCCACCCCTCCTAAAACAGAGGGTTCTCTGAGAGTCCTGCTGTCTGGCTACGGTGAAGGTTTGCTGTTGCTGTTTAGTTGCTCAGTCGTGGTTGGTTCTTTGTGACCCTGTGCACTATAGCCTGGCAGGCTCCTCTGTCCATGGGATTCTCCAGGCAAGAATACTGCAGTGGGTTGTCATTGCCTTCTCTAGGGGATCTTCTGACCCAGGGATCGAACCTGCGTCTCCAGCGTTGGCAGGGGGATTCTTTACCACTGAGCCACCAGGAAAGCCCCGCTGGGAAGTTTACTGAAGACATTTGCTTGGTGTGTTCCTCTGCTCAGAGGGGAGGGGGCTGATTCTGATATACATGGGGTACACACCCAACATCCCACCTCTCTCAGGCCTGTCACTTGACACCACTGTCATGAAAGATTGCAATGTTTCCACCCCTTAACCTGTGGACACGTTAAGAAGAAAGAAGGGGCGCTGCCTGGGCCAGAGTTCCACACCCTCCTTGAGACCCAGGGTAAGACAAGGACATGAAGGGACACCCCCAGAGACCAGGGTGAGAGGACCATGAGGAATGGGCACCGCCACAGCATGAAGGATGACCTGCTCTGGGCACCACTGGGGGAGAGCCTCAGAGGGAGTGGGGGGGATCAGACACATCCTGCCCCCCAAGGCACCCCAGGACCTGTGCTGACCCCCTGAGGTTACTAAACATAAACAGAACGTCATGCTCTGCCCCAAATCAAGACGTGGGCAGGGCCAGGCTCCCTCCAGTGGCTGGAAGCTGAACTCCCTGCCTCCTCCAGCTCTGGTGCATGCCACTTTCTTGGCTTGTTTCCGCATCGCTGCAGTCTCTGCTCTTGGTCACGTGACCTCCTCCTCTTCTAGGGACACTTGTCATGGCATTTAGGACCCACTTGGATGGTCCGTGATAAGATCCTTAGCTTCATCACATGACCAAAGACCGTGTTTCCAGATGACAGAACATTCACAGCCTCTAGGTTTTAGGACCTGATATCTTGGTAGGGGGTATCACTTATCCCACCTGCTAGAGCACCCATTCCTGGCATGAAAGATGTAGAGCTGTCTGTCTGTCCTGCCCACCTCTCTCCATCCCCAGGGTGGCTTCCCTGCCGAGTACATCATGGATGAGGAAGGCCAAGGGCACCTGACCTGCCTGGACAGCAACCACTCCCACTTCATCCTTGTGGACGACGGGACCCACGGCCGCCGTCATGTGACCAAGAGCAGAGACTGGGGCGATGCGGGCACAAGCCAAGAAAGTGTCATCCACCAGAGCTGGAGGAGGCAGGGAGTTCAGCTTCTCCAGGGCAATCCTGGAATTGCAGTCATCCTACGATCCTATGGCAGAGGTCAGTTTGGCCCGAGTGCCATGAGGCAGGCACACTCCCTGCTGGACAGTGGTTCTGCATGAAGCTCCATGGCCATGAGTCAGCACCTGCTTTACATTCAGCTGCTGAATGTAAAGGAGCTGGGGGTGGGGGGTGCCGAGGGCTGTACATTGAGGAACCCTCCTGGGAGCCTGGGTGAACAGCTCTAGAAGCCCCCAAAAGGCTGTCCAGGGGTCCTACAGGTGAGGGCTGCAGTCCCTCTGGAACCCTTCTTTGCTCTGTGCTGGTCAAGACCCAGGGCTGACCCTCCCGTGGCAGGGCCTCTCCTGGGGCTCCGACCCACCCACTCAGAGAGACTGTGCATGATGAATGCACCTCCCTCCATCAGCGGACAGGTTCTCTGCCCCCTCTTGCCGACAGCCTCCATGAGAGGCAGGCCACAGCACTCTGGGCAGTTACTCACCCACCACAGGACTTGACCCAAGAGGCCCATCCCCTGCAGGACTCACGTTTAGTGTGCCGGGGCCCCCTTCCAGCACCACGCAGACAATCGGGATCTTGATAGCCACGCCTAGGACGAAGCAGGGAGCACAGTTTAGGACCGTGGGCTCCGAGCATCCCCTGAGCCCCTCCCCACTCCTGCCAGCTGCAGTCTAACAACGCAATATGCAGGAGAGCTTGAAGACCTCAGCTCAAAGGTGTCCAACCAACCAGCAAAACATGTGCAAAACCCTGTGTTTGACCTCCCAGAGCCCTAGGATCCATCCCACCCCAGCCACAGGGGAAATGAGGTCAAAGCCTGAGCTTTGACTCCTTCACGCTCTGGTTTCCGAACTGAGATGTGTGTGCAGTGAAGGGACCACAGGGTGCTCTGTGTCCCGAGTGCCTGCCTGGCCTTTCCTTCTGCTGTTAAAGGGGCATGAGAAGATGATCCCCTGACCAAGTATACAGATGTCCAGGTGTGTTCTGATGGCCACTCCAGCACCCCACCCACCAAATGTCCTGGCTATGGCCAGCCGAGCCCCAGACCCCTGAACCAGCCCGCTCCCTTCTCCTCCAAGCACCCTGGAAAGTGGGCCCCGCTCACCTCCCCTCTCCTTGGTCTGCTGTGATATGAACTTCTCCAGCTTTGTCCTCAGGGGAATCTCGACCCCATAGCGGCCGTGGGTCCCATCGTCCACAAGGATGAAGTGGGAGTGGTTGCTGTCCAGGCAGGTCAGGTGCCCTTGGCCTTCCTCATCCATGATGTACTCGGCAGGGAAGCCACCCTGGGGATGGAGAGAGGTGGGCAGGACAGACAGACAGCTCTACATCTTTCATGCCAGGAATGGGTGCTCTAGCAGGTGGGATAAGTGATACTCCCCACCAAGATATCAGGTCCTAAAACCTAGAGGCTGTGAATGTTCTGTCATCTGGAAACATGGTCTTTGGTCATGTGATGAAGCTAAGGATCTTAGCACGGACCATCCAAGTGGGTCCTAAATGCCATGACAAGTGTCCCTAGAAGAGGAAGAGGTCACGTGACCAAGAGCAGAGACTGCAGTGATGCGGAAACAAGCCAAGAAAGTGGCATGCACCAGAGCTGGAGGAGGCAGGGAGTTCAGCTTCCAGCCACTGGAGGGAGCCTGGCCCTGCCCACATCTCAATTCTGGCCAAGCGGTACTCAGTACCAGACTGAGACTTCTGGTGTTCAGAAATGCGAGACAGTACAGTTTGGTTGCTTTAAGCCACCAGTTCCGTGGTTACTTGGGACACAGGTCCAGGAGAGGTGGCTATGGACCCGTGCACACGGCCTCTGGATGCCGCAGAGGAGAGCAGGTGGTGCTGCCGGAAGTTCTCTGAACTCAAGATGGAGAGAAAAGTGAAGTGTGATATTGGAAGTCAGCCAGTATCTCTCGGCCTCAGATTCCCACTCTGTGTAACGAGCATTCAGGACAGAGCCCGTCTGGTCCACTAAGCACTTCTGTGATGTGGACACGGAAGGACAGGAGCTGAGGGGCCGGCTGCCTGGTGACTAGCGTCTGTGACTGACACGAGGAGTCACTTTGCAGAGGATGCGCTCCCCAGGAAGTGGACGCACACCTCCCCCGCCCCAGAAAGGCCAGAGCCTCGTTCATAAGTCACACCTCGTGGGACAGTTGTCATCACACCTCCTCGGTGTGTCAAGGAGAATTTTATTTTGGGGCCAGTATTTCCCTCCAAACTTCCATGTGCGCATTATGCCAAATCTGCTGTGTCCTCAAAAAATCTTATTGAATGAATCAGTTCTCTTTTCCAACTCACATTCCCACCTTTAAGCAATTGCTTCTCAGGCCTGCACCCTGGTGAATGGACACGGGAAGGCTCTGTCTTCAAGCTCAGAAGAGAAGCTCACGGGAGGGGAATCAGGGAACCATTAAGCCCTGGGCTAAAAGGCCAGGCTCAGGGATATGACAACCCAGATGCTGGTAGGCTGTATGCTCTCAGCCAAGCTACACCTTTGCCAAGTCCATTTCTCATCAGAGTGGTGTTAGGAGGGCCCCCAGACCAGCGGCAGCTCTGGCAACTCTCATGTGGACCCATCCTATGATCTCGAGGGAGGAAACCAGAGTCCAGACAAGGTGCTTACTCTCCTGGGGTCAATAAGGTCTGGGGGGTTTGGGGGGGATTTGAGCCTGGGTCTCTCACGTCCCTATCCAGCCACTTCCCGTGACACTGCACTTACCCTGGTGTCCAAGTGGTGGCCTGTTCACTGAGCACTGGCTAAGATCCTACCACATCACCTCCCTGCTGTGCTATGACCCCCCCCTCCCCCGCCCAGAAGCAGCCTCCAGCTCACCATGGGGTGGATCAGGCTCTCCCGGTTGTGCAGGGCACCCCACGTGGCGATCCCGATGGTGACCACTTCCCCTTCGCAGAAGCTGCCACTCAGGCTGAAGTCCCGCACCGCCTCGCCCACCTGCTTCATCACGCCAGTGTGGGACCCCCCGGTGATGACCCAGGCCCCTGGGGAGAAGCAGAGAGATACCTGGTGCTGTGCAGACTCTCTGCTCCAGGGCTTTCAAACTCATTGTCAGGTGTGAACCCCACCACGATCAGGTCTCCCTGTGGCAGTCAGGACCCATGATGTCCCACGATGCTTAGTTAGGTGGGGGCACGAAGGCGACTCCATTCACCTGTAGGCCCTGCCCTCTCCCCCCTCCTCCCCATTGCCTCCCTCTGTCCTGCTCTCAGGAACACGGCATCTCAAAACTTTCTCTAAATGCTTCTGTTTTGAAGCATCATCAGTGGGGAGCCAACCAGAGCTGTGTCTGCACCGTGAGCAAGCCAAGCACAGCGGCCGGAGGTGGGTGAGTTTGACCAGACACTTCCTACCTGGCCCGGGCCTGGGCCCAACTCAGTGACCCACAAAGGCTGGCCAGTCCAAGGCCCTGACTCTGCTTTCGAGGGGTCCTCCCGCCTGCCCAGCAGTCCCAGGCCTGAGCACCACCGTGGTCTGGGCTTCGGTCCCTCTGTCCCTGGCTCTACCTGAGGTCTGGGCCACCTTGAGGAGTCCTCTTCTGAAAACGCTCTTCAGCCTGGGCTTCATGTTGAAGTCCTTGGCCCCGCCGGTCACGGAGATGAGCAGGTTGGGTGCATCCAGGCCCCACTGCTGGGTCATGAGCTGGTAAATCAGGCTGGAGGGAGTGTCCTGAGAGAGGCGGACGTACTGCAGGGAGGTCAGAAGACCCCGGGGGTCAGTGGGTGGCCAACCCAGACCCAGAGCCTGGCCACCCTGCCCCAGCCATGCCTGACAGCCCCAGGCAGGCAGGTGGACGCTCATGCTGGGTCCAGACAAAGCAAAAGTGGCTGCCTCCAAGAAGGTCATGGATTGAGAGAGAGGGGAGGCAAGGGCTGAGAAGACCAGTTCCGGGGTCTCTCTGTTGAGGGCACCCCAGCCTGAGCCCCACGGCCTGACCCCAGTCTCCCCATAAGGCAACGTGGTGATGCACCAACAGCAGCTCATGGAGGGGCGGGGCTTGGAGGTGGTGCAGAGGAAGGCGGCTCTGGGGCCAAGTTCACCTCATTCAACAGGCTTTGTTCAACCTCTTGGGCCAAGTGGGCCAAGTGGGCAGCGATTCTAAGAAATCGAGGAGGAAGGTCGCACCCAGCCAATAAGAGGCTGGGGGTCCCAGAACTGCAGCACAGAAACAAGTGACCCCCCCCCCCAGACCCCTCAGGGAACAGCTGCCCAAGAGCTGGCATAGAACTCTCCAGAAGGTGCGTTAAAGCCAGGGGGCTGGGACTCTGATTCAGCAGGGTGGGGGTGGGGCCCGAGTCTGCTTGGCAACGCTGCTGGCCCAGTGACCACCCTGAGATTCGCAGCACCAGAGAGAGATGCCGGCCAGGCCTGGGCCCCCCGCTGGCCCCACCCACACCCCCGTGTTCCCAGGCAGGCCTGGAGCCCTGATCCACCCCGCTCCACCACCTGCCGGACTCTCACCTCTGCTGCTGGCTCTCCTGCCATCCCCAAGGCCTCCCCACTGCCCATCACCCCGCCTGGGTGCTGTGTGCTCCCCTGTTCCCTCCTGGCAGTGACAAAAGCCATTCAGGCCACCCCCTGAACTCGCTACTGTGCCCCGCCCACACCTCTCCTGGAGCCCTGGCAACAAATCCCCTGAGGACACCCTGTGGCTCTATTTGCCATGCAGAGCTCTCCACCCTGCCCCCACCCAGCACTGGGCAGGTGGGTTCTGCAGCCTCCCACGCCCTCCTTAGGGAGGCCCGGCCACCCCAGTCGCCAAGGGTGGGCTCTGGTCCCCAGTAAGAGCAGTGGAGTCATGGAAACCAACCTTTCCCACTTTCTGGCCCAAGCCCGTGAAGATGATGTCACCGAATGCATCTGTTGGCATCTCCCTGACATGCTTTTTCGGGTCCCACTCCTGGCCCTGGAAGGTGTGGGACCACGTGGCCTCCTCCAGGTGCTTCTCACGTGGGTAGCCGCACTCGCACACCACCTTCCTGCAAAGGCCGTGGGGTCACCAGGGGCAACTGGTGCCTGCTCCTCTCCTCAGCAGGGATAAAGGAGGCCCAGGGGAGTCATGACTGGCACCCCAGCCACGGAGTCAGCGGAGACACATAATCATCAAACTTCTAAAATCTAATGACAAAAATCTTGAAAGTCGGAAATGATACCTTACCTGTTGGAGGAAAATAACTGGACAACTGATTTTGAATCAGAAGCCAGAAATCAGTGCCAGGAAGAATCCACACAACATTTTTCTAAAGATGAAAACGACAAAACCCAGAATTCTGCATCCAGCAAAAATATCATTCCATGTGAAAGGGATGCCAAGACACTCTCAGGTGAAAGAAAACCAGGGAACTGGTCAACAAACAAACCTCCCCAAAGAAGATGGCTGGGGGAAATTCTCTAAACAGAAAGGAAATGATAAAAGGAAGAATTCTGGAATATCAGCATGTTGTCAAGCATGGGATTTCACCAACCAAACTTCCCCAAAGAGGATGGCTAGAGGAAATTCTCTAAATAGAAATGAAATGATAAAAGGAAGAATTCTGGAATATCAGCATGTTGTCAAGCACGGGATTTCACCAACCAAACTTTCCCAAAGAGGATGGCTAGAGGAAATTCTCTAAACAGAAAGGAAATGATAAAAGGAAGAATTCTGGAATATCAGCATGTTGTCAAGCACGGGATTTCACCAACCAAACTTTCCCAAAGAGGATGGCTAGAGGAAATTCTCTAAATAGAAAGGAAATGATAAAAGGAAGAATTCTGGAATATCAGCTTGTTGTCAAGCACGGGATTTTTGTAGACACTAACACCTACGGCCGGCTATTTGTTCTGTAAGTGAATATTGAAACATCTCTAGTCAATAGAGTTCAGGTAAGGAAAGATGTGTTAAGATGTATTGCTCTGTCTCTGGTCAATAACTTGTTGAAAACAAAGAAAGAAGAATGGAAAGAATAAAAGTATGGGTGGGTGAATAAACACATTTCCTCCTCTTGAATTTTCTGAAGTATGTTTGACGGTTGAAGAAAATTGCACCATGACCTAATATATATGTGGAGGAAATTTTGTAAACAGTTATAATATAAATGGGGAAGGACAAAGCGTTGTAAAAGGTGGGAATGTTTCTACATTTCCCACAAACTGGTGAATGTCAATACCAGGAGACTAGTATGAGTTCCCAATACACGTAGATATCAGTAATATGTGATAAGTTAACTATATATAATGTAGTACCTGGAACAACCACTAAAAAGCTATAAAAGAGATACAGGCAAAAATAGCATAGACAAATCAGATGGAACTCTAAGAAAAGTTCAAGTAACCCACAGAAAGGCAGGAAAAGAAAAATAGAGAAATATAAACAAAAAAATACAATGGTAAACTTAAGTCCTCATATACCAATGAGAGTGAAATTGTCGGTCACTCAGTTGTGTCCAATTCTTTGCACCCTCGTGGACTGTAACCCACCAGGCTCCTCTGTCCATTCTCCCGGCAAGAATACTGGAGTGGGTTGCCATTTCCTCCTCCGGGGATCTTCCTGACCCAGAGATCAAATCCATGTCTCCCGTGTCTCCTGCATTGCAGGGAAATTCTTTACCGCTGAGCCACCAGGGAAGCCCCAGAGATTGGCAAAATGGATTAAAAAATCATAAGATCCAATTATTTGTCATCTATAGAAACCTCACTACAAATATTGTGATCTAGGCTAGTTGGCTCCCCTGCAGCAAACAGGAGCCTAGGACCAACACACACAACTCGAACGGATCACAAAGGCATTCCATTGGGTGAAAAAAGCCAGCCTTGACACATCACCTCATGAAGGATTCCTCTTATATGACATTCAGCAACTGAAACAATTGCAGGAATGAAGAGCAGATGAGTGATTGCCAGGGGTTATGGATGGTGGGGTAGAAGTGACTACTGGTGGGACCGTGGGGTCCATCTGCAGTACCTTTACAATTTCTTGTAAATCTATAGTTATTTCAAAATAAAAAAGGTCAAAAAAGCACACGGTGCAGGCTCAAAGCAGAAACTTCTAGATCTGGGGCCAGAGGGATGCACATGGCCCTCCAAAGAGAACACCCCATCACCTCTTTTCAACTGTCACCTCCTCCCTCGCCTCCTTTGTCTTGGTGGGTTGAAATCGTTTTACTCCTTTAGTGCCATTCTTGGGAGGAGAGAGAGGAGACAGCAACTATGTTCTTCACAGCTTGTTAAGTTGGAAATCTACATATTTTTTTAGAGGCCTACTTTAGCTAGTAACAGGTGACCTAGAAGACAAGATACAGATGAGAGCAAATCAAAAAATCTGACACCAGGTGAGACCTGAGCCCAACAACACCAGGGGAAAACAGGACTGGACCTAGAGAGAGAAAAGTGGGTTTCCCTGTAGCTTACAGAGTGTGGCCTTAGGGGCTCCGACTCTCAACTTCTCAATCATTAAATGGGGGGAAAAATACATTCTCTGACCCCTAACCTGCAGAATTTGTGAGGGCCAAATAAGGTTCTAGATGGAAGATAGCTTATAAAATTTGTGTGGGTTGACTAGCCGTGCAGAGGACCGAGGCTGGATCAAGAGGCCAAGGCCCACCGTGTGCTCTGTCCCCCGGTCTCCTGGGTTCAGTACCCCGTCCCGCTGCTCAGGCTGGGGCCTCCTCAGGCCGGGGAGCACTGGCCCAGTCATTGGGAATTCCAAGCCCAGCTTCTTCCAGGACTCCTCGTGTGCAGGAGTGCTAAATCGCTTCAGTTGTGTCGGTCTCCTTACGACCTTAGAGACCATAGCCCGCCAGGTTCCTCTGCCCCTGGGATTCTCCAGGCAAGAGTACTGGAGTGGGTTGCCATGCCTCCTCCGGGGATCTTCCCGACCCAGGGGTTGAAACTGCATCTCTTATGTCTCCTGCATTGGCAAGTTGGTCCTTTACTAGTACTGCCACCTGGGAAGCTCTTATGACCCCCTTAGGGGACTCAAATCACTTCTAGACCTGCAGGGCTCCCCTGAGCACCACCCGTGAGCACCTCCATTCAGGGAGGAGGAAGCTGGGCCCAATGTGGGGGAGGGGGCCGCCAGGACAAGGACTCCGTCTTGTGTCCTTGCCCAAGGCCACCCCAAACTTTTTTATAAACTGTAACAGCCTAGAATAGACCACACCCTCCCCTCCTCTCTTTCAACCATCCCCCAGTGAGATTAGGTCTTCAATCGACAGAGTGTTCCCAAGCCTGACACAGAATAGGAAACTACAGACTGTAGACCCAGAAGTTGAATAATCAGAGAATTTTCACAGGGCTCTTGGCCCATGTGGGTAAGTGGGGCTCCGCCCCCTCGCCCCTCCCCTCCCCAGCACCTCACGACATATGAGGAAGAAACTGCCGTGGGGAGTTACATGCACTCAAGTGACAGCCCGCCCCGCCTTCCCCCTATCCCGTGGCTGCTCCTCACATGGGGTCCTAGTACCAAGAAAGGTGCTTCAGAAGTTTCAGAGCCAAACATATCCTGAGCACCATTCCTTCAAAGAGGGACAGAAACACTGAACCAGGAAGAAGCCCCATTTCTGTCTCAGATACAAACTGTACCCCAACCCTCACTGACTCCTGTGGATGTTTCTCTGCTATTTGTTCAGAATTCAGAGGACAGGAGGGGCTGAGGTTGGACAGATGGCACCCCTTGAACCTCTACCGACCAGACCCGGGCTCCACAATAACCTTCTTCAAAGGGTTTTGGAGCCAGTGACTCCTGTAAGGAAACCTGGGGACCACAAGTCTCCTCTGGGGCTACTCTTGTAAGCTTATTTTAAAAACTAAAACCAGAGACCTCAGTGCAAAGCCCTCTGCACATGGTCAGAGCAATCGGCCTAAACTTGAACTCTGATCACTACTGAATACAACCTTGAGGCCATCAGCTGGATCATGGTGGCAACCTTCTCTGATGTGGGGGTCCCCCATGGCCTCTGAGGAGGAAGGAGGGCTATCATCTAATGAGGAGCCAAGCTGGAGCATGAACCCCTAAATGGGGCACTTTTTGTGACAACATCCCAGGCACGTCCCAGGAGGAACAGCATCATTGTCAGTGATCACGCACCTCTGGCTCCAGATTATCATCCTTTTCCATCACCTAGACACGGCATGCCCCTCCCCTCTGTATTGTTCACAATCTAAGCTGGACGCTGGCTATCTGTCCAGTGGGGAAGTAATAATGTGACTCAGTCACAGTCAGAGCTCAGAACTTGTTTGAGAAAACCACAAAGCCATATAATAGAAGTGCTGCCAGCAACCAGCAGAAAAGACAAATACAGAGTGCAGTAGAGGGAGGGGTTACATCCTGTGTGTGGTCAAGGAGGACTCCGTGGTGGAGGCAGCATCACCAGGTGACAAAGGAGCAGAAGTAATAAAGAGTGAGGCCCATTTCCTGCAGAGCGAGGACTAGAGTGTCTGGAGGGGAATGCTCTGAGCACCCCAGGCTGGTACATACACTGGGGCTGTCCCCTCCTGAGGCCTGGTCAGCCCTGCCCTGATCAGCTACTCCATGTAGGAATAGGGAAAGAAATGGGTTAGTCAGTCAGTCATGTCTGACTCTGTGACCCCCATGGACTATAACCCACCAGGCTCCTCTGTCCATGGAATTCTCCAGGCCAGAATACTGGAATGGGTCGCCACTCCCTTCTCCAGGGGATCTTCCCAACCCAGGGATCAAATCTGGGTCTCCTGCATTGCAAGCAGATTCTGTACTGTCTGAACCACCAGTGGGAACAGAACAAATCACTCACCCAGTGTCAGACGGTTTGGAGCTTTCCACAAAGTATATGCATTCTTTCTTCTTGATGTTGTCAGGAATCCATGAACTCAGGTTTCCTTGCTGAGGGTAAAAAGGTCACTGAGAGATTCTCAGGCAGTTAGATCAGTGCCATTCCAAAGACCACACCCCATACCTCATCAGGCCCACCCGTGCACCCTGACACCCTTCAGGGTCTTCCTTCAGAGACAGGACACCGAGTCCTCCCCCACCACCTGCCGGAGGCCCTCAGGTGCAGACCCCAGAGCGAGGAGTGAACCTAGGGATCTGCTCCTCCCGGGCCCCTGGGATTTCACAGCCCTTCACAGTTTGCAGGTCAGAGCTGCCTTCCTCAGGAGCAACAGTGTGGTGCAAAGGTGACAGTGAGTATCAGGACACCCGCCCACATCCGAGGGACCAGGCTGAGACGTGAGACACCATCTTCACACCCAGCCAGTGGTGTGACATTCAAATGTCCCCAACACAAGCCTGCCTGGGGCTTTCTGTGTGGCCGACCCCGGCCTCAGCTGGTTCCCGGGCCTTCCTTGTTGGATAAAGGATGCAAAAGGTGGGTGTACGGGCTTACCCAGCACTTTCCCAGCTGGAATCAGGACAGGAACCAACCCAGGGACACAGACTCGGGGGGCCCCCCAGTGTTCTCTCCAAGTCCCCTCTGCTGGGTTGTGGTCCCCAGAAAAACTAGGGGGTCACTGTGCCCCACCAGGGCCCTGGCAGACCCAGTGACCCCAGACTTACCTTTTCACAGTTGCTGAAGAGGCGCTGCGACCTCCTGTTCCTGCAGAGACTGGTGCTGCTCCGCCGGAGGTTGGGGACCATGGCCAGGTCGGCCACCCTCCTGGGCTGCACCCCAAAGCTGTCTTCCTCCCTGGAGCTGGCCTGATCCCGACGCCTCTTCACCAGTGACTCCATCCCAATGCCCGGCTCAGGCTCCACAGAACAGGCTTGGTCCTGCTACCTCAAAACAAGCTTCTCTCTGGCTTTCAAAGTCAGGGGGCCTGGAAATGAGGTAGGAGGTGGGTGGGCCACAAGGTGAGCAATTAGACATTTTGAGGAAATTCTCCTTCCAACATCTCAAGGAAAAGTTACCTTGGCAGGAGCAGAGAGGAGCTAAGCTCTGATGGAATAAAAACAAGACAATCTCAGTTTTCATCCTTGAGGTCAAGGAGACCCCCACCCCCACCCCTCTGTACAAGCACAGAAACGTTCGGTGGGGGTCCAGAAGGAAGGAGCACTAGTCCATAACATGTCCTGTCAACCTCTCAGAGACCTTCGTGCTAGAATCTGTCTCGGCTAGAAGATGCATACACACATAGCGGAAGGGCCTGCGTCAGCCCAGATACGGGCAGAAAGTAGGATAATTGGCCCGAGGGAAACAAATACCCAGAAAATGGCCCCATATAAGCGATCTAAGCTGCCCCCGCTGCACATAATTCTGTGAGTGCAACCATGTGTCTATTTGCAAGTAGCCTGTTCTTAATACACATTTACTTGCCTCACCGCTTTTCATCTCTTTGCTGATTTCTTTCTTCAAAATAGCTGAGAACCGAACCACTAGTGACTGACTCTAGCCACTGGTCCCTGGTGGTCTAGTGGTTAGGATTCAGTGCACTCATTGCCACAGCCCAGGTTCAATTCCCTGTCAGGGAATGAGATCCCACTTGAAGCTGCCACACCCCAAGACCACCCAAGGTGAGAAGCTAGCCACCGGGGCTGGAAAGTGGGTCGGGGGGATGAGTCAGGTGTTTCCTCCTGGGGGGCCCCACTGTCTTCTGGCTTGCACACTCTTCCCACTGCCCGAGCTCAGGCCTCATCAGGTGTGGGCAGTCTGGACGCATGGGTACAGCCACGGGGCCCAGGCGCCCATTCACACTCTTGGGTCACCGTGAAGGACCAGAGAAAGAGCACCGTGCCCACCCACCCCCATTCCTGTGTACCCGGTGATGCCTGGGAGCCCGAGACCAGGGGAGAAACTGCCCGGTCCTCACACGCAGTGCTCACGATGGGGTCCCAGCCTCCTGCTTCCAGACATGAGTCACTTCTTCTGTTTTCCCAGAAGGAGAAAAGTCCCCACTGCCCGCAGAGCTGGTTTTGGGAGTGGCAGAGCCTTGCACTCTGTGATGCGGCCCCTCCAAATAGAACAGATCCTGTTTTCCAAAACCCTTGCTCTGACCTGGTCTCCATTACCGGGGCCTCGGTAAGCAGCACGACTACTTCCCTCAGGTTATGAATGCGAAAATAAATACATGCACGAGCTTCCCTGGAGACACGATGCCCACGGTGACATCTCATGACATCACCCGTATCACCCAAGGTGTCGTCCAGGGAGGCCCTCACCGCCACCGGCTGCTTCAAGGGTGTGAACAGGGGCAGAGGACAGGCCATAAGGTCTCCCTCCCTCTTCCACCCTGAAGCCCTTTCTGGCCACATCACCCTCCCCCATACAAGATGGTCACTGACAGTCACTGGTAGTCCTTTCTCTGCCGATTGTGGGGTCCAGCATAGGTGGCCCCAAAATGTGCCTCAGAGACATACTGATTATTTTGAATTAAAAAATTTAGGAAGAACTGACTCATTGGAAAAGACCATTATTCTGGGAAAGATTGAAGTCAGGAGGAGAAGGGAATGACAGAGGGTAAGATGGTTGGATGGCATCACCAACTCAATGGACATGAGTTTGAGCAAGCTCCAGGAGTTGGTGATGGACAGGGAAGCCTGGCGTGTTACAATCCATGATGTCACAGAGTCAGACACGACTGAGCAACTGAACTGAATGAATTTTAAGGATGAGATGTTAGATAGCATCACTGACTCAATGGACATGAACTTGAGCAAACTCCAGGAGATGGTGAGAGACAGGGAAGCCTGGCGTGCTGCAGTCTATGGGGTCACAAAGGTGAATACTACTTAGCAACTGAACAACAAAAATTCCTTAAGAGACAACCAATGCAAGAGGGCCACTCTTACCCTCCCTTCTGTCTCCTTGGGAGCAGGGCAGAAACCTCTCCTGTGAAAGGTGCACCCCTGCACCCAGAGACAGAAGGACCCCATTACCAGAGATGCAGACTTGGGGCCAAGAGGCCTGTGTAAACCAACCTCGTGACTTCTTTCATTGACTAAAGCCCAAACTCTTTAGATCATTCACTCACTGGGTACCCCAAACTTAAGTTTCATTGCCCTGTCAATTCTTCACTAGTGTATTGTTTCTTTTTCTAAACAGTATAAAACCTGTCTGCTTTGCCCACTTCTGAGGTCCCATTCCTATGGGGCCTCCAGGTGCATGAAATTAAATTAGTTTCTTTTTCTCCTGCTGATCTGTCTTGTGTCAGTTTTACTATTATTATCAGTTCAGTCATAGGAACCCAAGGCGGGCAGCAGAGGAAGTTTCCCCTCCCAACACTTTTCATCTAGCTTCAACATGCGGTCACTGTGCTCTGGTGGAGGGGGGTGGGATTTGTCAGGGAGTGAGGCGCCTGCCATCACCTGGCCTCCCCGGCCCACCCTCTTCTGGGCCATTCAGTTCAGTGCTGGGCACTTGGGGTACTTGGGGTCGAGCCACTGGCTTGACACAGGGCTCAGGGCACCTCTCACGTCTTCGTCCTCAGTCTTCTCCCTGGGCAGCTCCTGCCCCCTCACTCCTAGGCCAGGGTCACTCCCAGACATGCCCATACCTGCGGAGAGGAAGGGAGCCAAACCTCCCTCACGTGGAGGCACCGGGACAACACAAGACATTGTTTCCAGGAATGGGTGCTGAGGCTACAAACACCTACAGATGCAAAAGCAGCCTTGGAACTGAGCAACGTGCAGAGTGGAAGAGTTCAGAGGAGTGCTAGAAAAAGCCTCCATCACCACGGACAGACAGAACAAGTGTGGTGACAGCTCAGGACAGGAGAGCTGTAGGGAGTGCCCCAGCCTCCTTAGAGAAACCTAAGTGGTCACAAGCAGATGTTAGTAGAAAGAGGGGTGGGGAAGGCCATCCTGATGCATCTCAGATGGAAACAGGGACCATGTTATTGCAAACTGAAGGAAAGGCAAGTGTGTTACAAACAGGTAAAGAGCTAGGTGAACTGCTTCTTTCCTGGTGTTTTGTGGAAGATAGAACTTGCGAGTGATGAAATTTGACTGAGGAAACATGTAGGCAAAGTGTTGAAAGTACCTCAAAGCTTCTCTTGAGTACTTACAGTAAAATGCAAGAAGAGAGAAATGACCTAAAGATGGACTTCCAATCACAAAGCACTCAGAGCTTAGNCCCACCTCCACCAAAAGGAAGATGTTATTTACTTGATCACAAGCTTGTAGCCCGCAGACCTACTGGAGCCTGAGGACTGATGATGTTAACCCCTGAGACCCTGCCCTGTTGCCATCAACCAGTGAGAGATCAGAGAGCTGTGCACGAGCTGATCAGAGAGTCGTGCACAAGCTGATCACATGCCCTGTGATCACTGCCCCCCTGCCCAATGGCCTGGATTTTTAAAATGCTTTGCTGAAGCCCTTCAGGCGTTCCAGATTTGGGGGCACAAACTACCCACCTGTCCTTGTTCAGCCCTGCGGTAAACCTTTCTCTGCTCCAACGCCGACGTTTCGGTTCCTTTGGCCTTCCTGTGTGTCCGTCAAGCACATGAAATGGAGCTCAGTGCCACTGACTATCTGGTTCCCCAGGCTCACAGCTGGAGAGGACTATGCCCCAGGGTGAATCCACCTCAGGTCTCCCCACATCTGATTTAGAGGAGACTCTGGAGTGGATGCTGCAGTGAGTTAAGATTTGGGGGCTGTTGGGATGGAGTGAGTGTATTTTGCATGTGGGAAGGACACAATCTGGGGGGGCAGAATGGGATGGTCTGTGTTCCCCTAAAATTCCTATGGGGCATTTAGGAGGTGGTTGGGTCAGGAGGGTGAAGCCTACATGAATGGGATCAATGCCTTTGTAAAAGAGACCCCCGAGAGCCCCCGGCCCCTTCCTCCACGTGAGAACACAGGAGTCTGCTCCCAAAGTGGGCCCTCACTGACCACGCAGTCTTGGACATCCAATCTCCAGAACCACCAACCACACAGTCTTGGATGGCCAGCCTCCAGAACTGTGAGAAATAAATATCTGCTGTTTATGAGCCACCGAACATGGTCTTTGTATAGCAGCCAGGACGCACTGAGACAAGCAGTGAGTGTGCTGGCCCTGCAGTCCTCGGGAGCCTCCTGGCACACCACTCGTGGCAAAGGGGGCTTACGCCCAAGTGGCCTTTACAGGGCTGCCTGCTATCCTAGTCAGCAGCTTGCCAGGCCTCACAATCAGCTTCTCAGGGGAGCAGATCAGCAGGAAATATTCCAGGTGACAGAAGAGGAAAAGAAGGCTCTGAGAATCTCACAACTGGGCAACTAATCTGTAAGGGGACCGGGACTCTCCAGGGCTCAGTTCTGCAGCCAGGATTCCCAACCTCCAGGATCTACTGCCTGATGATCAGAGGGGGATCTGATGTAATAATAACAGAGACAGAGGGCACAGTTAATGTAATGCACTGGGATCACTCCAAAAACATTCCCCCATCCCGCTCCATGGGGAAATTATCTTCCACGAAATCGGTCCCTGGTGCCAAAAGGTCAAGGACCACTGCTCTACGGGACAAGTGACAGAAGGAGAAGCAATAAAGGACTTGGTCTCAAGAAACTCAAGTGCGTTTGCTCAGATTCACAGTTTTCGGATTCACAGATGCCCATCTCACCACACTCACTAGAGGCGTGTTTACATCTTCTCAATCCCAGCTGCCAACAGGTCCCTAGGAAACGTGTCAAACACCATTCCTCACACCCACCAGTCATCAGACTTTGAAGGGCAGAGCCACGTGTAACCATTCCCACGTCCAGCCGCCGGGGGAGTCTGGCCTGACCCCCCCTTCCTCCCCTCCACCCACACCCCCCACACCACACCCGGACCCCTGCCTAATAGTCTAGGCCCTGGGAGAGTCCAGAAAACTAGGCTGACAATGAACTTACAGCACCCCTCTGGCCATCAAACCTTCTCTGGGGTCCTTCTCCCCAGGATCATACCATCAGTTGCTCTCTTCNTGACTCATTGGAAAAGACCCTGATGCTGGGAAAGATTGAGGGCAGGAGGAGAAGGGGACAACAGAGGATGAGATGGTTGGATGGCATCACCAACTCAATGGACATGAGTTTGAGCAAGCTCCGGGAGATGGTGAAGGACAGGGAAGCCTGGCGTGCCACAGTCCATGCAGTCACAAAGAGTTGAACATGATTTAGGGACTGAACAACAACAATTAGCACAGATATGTTGAGAAAACTCTAAAAGTAAAGGACTTCCAAGAAGAGAGAGAATCTGACCCGGTAGGCCTGAATATAGTAACAACACGCACACCTACAGATGTCGCCCAGCACAGAACACTGACAAAACGTGAAGCTGCAGCCCTAGAGAGGAGTGAGGGGGCGGACAGGAGCACGGGGTGAATGTTCCCATGGGGACTCACCCAGACGGGGCTCCTCCTGGTACCCCGCCCTCCCCAGCCCAGAAGACTCACCGGTAAACAGAACCACGTGCTGGTCTGGCGCACCGGCTGCGGCCCTGTGTGCGCCCACTCTCCACTCCTCTAACCCTGTAGCTGCTCCCTGCGCTCCTCCTCCAGCATCCTGAAATCCTGGCTGTGACAGCACTTTCAAGATTAAAAATAGCCACACGCGGGTGAGGGGTAAAGGAACCGCCAACCACGGGACTGGGCCGAGAGGTCGTGGGGGTGGGGGTCAGAGGAAGAGCCTGAGATAGCTAAGTCCCTGATGTCCCCAAGTCACGACACGGCGCCTCCGGACAGACCGCGCCCAGCCGTGTCGCAGAGCCTGGGCCCCGCGCCGCAGCCCAGCGGACATCCGCACCCGGCCAGCCGCCTGCCTGCCGCAGCAGTCCCGCAACCCCGCTGCAGCCCCGCACCGCAGCCCGAGCCGCGCCCAGCCCTCTGCACCCCAGCGCACTCACACCTTGGAGCTTGCTGCAGTCTTCCCCGACCCCCAGCTCCCGCCCCCGCGCCCAGACCGATTCCTGGGTCCCCGCATCCCTTGGCCCACGCACCCCAGCCTGGGCTCCGACCCTCGTGCCGGCCCGACCCTCCTCCTGGATCCTGGGGCATCCTCCCCTTGATACGCGGCTCCGCAGCGCCTCGGTTCCCTCCACCCCAGGCCGGCGTGCGTACCTGCTGAGAGGGGCCCGCGCTCCCGCATCACTCGCGCCGTCGCCGACGCCGCCACTGCCGCCGAGCAGGACCGCAGCCCTGGCCCTGCGGGGCCCGCGCAGCGCGCTCCGCGTCACGGCTCCGGAGAGCGCAGTCCGCCCAGTCCCGCACTCCGGACCAGAGCCCAGGAGGAGAGACTAGCCCTCTGGAGCGCGGTCCGCCTCCCCAGGTCCCCTCCCAAGAGGCTGGCGCCAAGTGTGAACCCGGAGGAAGCGATTCTCATCAAGTCCTAACCGCAGGGAGGTGGGGCGCAGGACTGAACGGGGTTGTGTTGGACAATGGGGGCCTGGAGACTGGGTGAACCACTTCCCCTATTGGTCTGCTCCTGCCCTCACCCATCTTCCTAGGGGCCCCAAGCCAGGAGCCCATTCCCTGTAA